ATGAACTATGAAATAGTTGGGTACAAATATGAAACTCTAAAAGGGGCTGTACCCCATGTTGGCTACCCCACTACAGCCTAAACATATATAGCAGATATATCATTTGACACACCCCCATAGGCAAAGTGGGGGAGAGCAAGGGGTCACAAGACCAGTCAAGAGAAGCAAAGCAAGCTCAGGGTGGATCACAACGTCACCACACACACTGAGCACAAGCAAAGGGCCACAAGGCCAGTTCACATGCAGGGGTATATATGCAACAACAACAGCACAGTGATCTCTACCTAGCAGAGCAAGCATGCAGGTATATATATATATCACAGTACAAGCAAAGTCTACAGCAAGTGAGGAAAAGTGGGCACAAGGCCTAACAAAGTGCAGAAACGCTGATGATCACCAGACGGAAGTGCCTTGGTGAATATATCAGCAGTGTTGGCCCGAGTGGCCACGTGAGCAAGACGAAGCTGACCACGCTGCTGCAACTCTCGAGCCAGGAAGTAACGCAGAGCGATGTGCTTCGTTCTGTGCTCCAGTCTGTGCTCCTCACACAAGTCAATGGCGGCCTTGTTGTCGACGTACAGCACTGGAGGAGAACGAGGCCGCTCTCCCAGGTCGGTCAGCAGGTAGGTGAGCCAGCGTAACTCCTGTGCAGCCATGGCTGTGGCGTAGATCTCAGCCGCACAACTGGAGCTGAGAACTGAAGATGAGCGTGTAGAACGCCAAGAAACTGAACCAGAGCCAAGGCTGAAGGTGTAACCCTGTGAAGACCGCTGCGTAGCCTGGTCGTCAACCCAAGAAGCGTCTGAGTGCCCATTGAGGACTACGTCGCTCCGTCCTCCAAGCACGAGCCCCATGCTCGATGTACTGCACAAGTAGCGTAGTACCCTCTTAGCAGCATCCATGTGCACCTTTCGGTGCCGACCAGGAGCCACGTAGGAGCGGGGAGGACGTGGATCCAGCGGGCGGCGTGGTCGAGGGGAAGCTGAGTATAGAGTCGGCGGCGAATGTCAGCTACGCTGGGGCATCCGTCTTGTAGGATGTCGAGCCGCGCGCCGAGCCCTGCACCTGTATGGAAGGGGCCTGCAAGCCAGGACCCAACAACGTGTACCGCGGAGAGGGCACTTATGTGAAAGGTGCCATCTCCAAACGCCGGCCGGACGATGAAGCGGTTGGGAAGGACACGGTGAAGAGAGACTGAGAGCGACGACGGAGGGGAGAAGGCCGTGACTTGGAGAGCGAGAGTGGGGGAGGTTTCAGAGTCTTCTTTAGGAACGAACCACTCCCCAAGGGCTGCCGTGGGGGGAGGGGGGGAGCGAAGGGCTGACCACCAGGGCTTGGGGATGGCACGAACGAGTTCTCGCCAGACTCTTCGTCCAGAGGAGGAGTTGGCTAGGGGAAACAAGGACGTGAAATGTTTAAAGGAGACCACACCAAGCGAGTGAAAGATAAGAGAGATCAAATGGCCGACGCGAACCTGCATGGATAGGAGGAAACGTTCACGCGTGAGAGTCCCGAAGGGCTTCCCGTTCGATTTGAGAATAAAACGGTTGAAGGCGGTGGGCTCACCCATTATACACAAAGGGACAAGGCGAGGGGGGGCGATGTCCGGGGTGATCTCTATCAATGCGCGTAGTTCGGCGAGTGCTCGACTCGGGATTACCGTTGGCAAAATGCCTGATTGAAGGATGGCAGGGTGTGCTAGGAGACAGTGTGTGCCAAAAGGGAGGCAGACGGCGGCTCTCGCTACCTCCTCTGATGGTGAGGCGCCAAGGCGGCGTAGCGCGCGGTGAGTGGCTAGAGCGCGGATTTGGGTGGAAGGGGAGATTGCTCGAAGGCCTCCATGGCGAGTGGAGTTGTACAGGAGCCGATTAGGGATGAGACGGACCGCGAGTCCGTGTTCCTTGAAGCGAGAAGAAGATAGAAAGTTCCCGACCAAGACGTCTAGGCGTTTGATGATGTCGGAGGAGGGGGGTTGAAAGTGGCCGGGGAAGGAGATAATAGAGTTTAAGAAGACCGACGTAAGTGACTTGCGGCAGGTAGCTGTGGCACGAAGGGCGGCGAGGAATTTAGCCATCCGCTGTACGCGAGAGAGAGTCGTGGACCAGGTAGTGTCGCCGGGTTGTGCACGTTCGACGTAGATGCCAAGGATGCGCTCTGATTCTTGAGGAGTGCGAATGGGAATGGGGCCAGCCAGGAGGATTTCTTCCGGGGCAATGTGAAAAGGAATAATTGAACATTTGTTCCAGTTGGGGTGTTCTCCAGAGACTGCGGCAAAGGTCCGAAGGTGTACAAGTGTGGTCCCAAGCTCTCTCACGGAGGAGAGGAAGATGGTAACATCGTCAACATAGCAGGCCATGAGACGGCGCTGCGTCGTAGAGAGGGGGAAGCCTGGGAGGAAAAGCGATAAGTAGCGCTGTAGGATTTCAATGACACACACAAAGAGGAGGGGGGCGAGGGGGCATCCTTGTCGGACCCCCGTGCGGACGGGGAAGTTGGGTCCAGCGAGGTTGTTAACAGAGATGCAGGTGGAGGTGTTAGTGTGCATGAGGCGAACCCAGGCGATGAACTGCTCGGGAAGTCCCACCATGGCAAGCGCTTGGAAAAGGAAGGCCCGGTCGACCAGGTCATAGGCCTTGCGGAAGTCAACAGTTAAGGCGAGCAGGGGGGTTTTTGTGGTTGTGCTCCAGTCAAAAATGTCAAGTGTATCGTTGATCGTATCGCCAATTTTCCTGCTTTTAATGAAAGCGGTTTGGGAGGGGTGGATAATCTGAGGGAGAGCGAGTTGCAACTGGTTGGCGAGGCATAGGGCTAGCACCTTATAGTCCGAGTTCATGAGGGTGATAGGGCGGAGATTGTCAACCATAGAGGAGCTGCCCCTCTTGGGAATAAGTACTGTGCGGCCTGACAGCATTGATGGTGGGAGGGTGGCGGAGATGTGCGGTGAAGAAAAGAGTGAGAAAAATGCAGGGGCGAAGCGGGTATTATATTGTCGGAAAAGCTCGCCTGGGATACCGTCAGGGCCGGGGGTTTTGCCGCGGGTGAGCTGGCTTAGAGCTTTGCTAATTTCCAGAAGGGAGAGGGGGGCTTGAAGGTGGTTGAGAAGACGGGGAGGGAGTGAAGAGGGGGGGATGTGTGCCCAGAACGCAGGATTTGGCACGCCTGGGGTTGCCCCGCTATATAAGGACTGGAAAAATCTGGTGCATTCATTGGTCATGGCTCGCAAATCTGAGATGGTTTGTCCATCTGGTAGTGTGAGCGATGAGATTAATGAGTCTTTGATGCGGGAATTGAGTCCTGCCAGCAAGGAGGAGGTTCCCATCTCCCTGTGGCCTTCGACTTTAAGCTTTGCTTTCAGAGCGAGCTCTGCAGTTTTAGATGCCTCATATCTTGTTAGTTGGATGCGGGCTCTGAGGAGCTGTGTGGTCGCGTTATGGTCCAAGGGGAAGAGGGCGGATTGGAGCTGGAGGTGGCTAATGAGTTGGACAAGGTGGTCAATAGTGCTGGTAACCCGTTTGCGCTCTTCGTTCGAGAAACGTTTGAGGCTGAGGGTAAGGGCCAGTTTCCAGGAGTCCCATGCTTCGGGGGAAGGGCGTGATGGTAGGGAGGGGAGGTGAGATTCGATTATGGTAGCGACTTGGGGCCGGTGGAGAAGAGAGGAACTGAAGCGCCAAGGTCGCGGTGCCAAGGTTGGGTTGTCGAACGTGAGGGTGCAGAGGGGTGCGAAGGAGTGGTCAGAAACGTCAGTTGGGGTCCAGAGGTAGGAGGCTTCAGAGGTTCGTGGGAGGAATGAGCTGGAGAGGTAGATTCGATCCAGTCTGGAGGCAGGCGGGAGAGCTGTACCAGCACTGGCCCGGCAACCAAGGTAGGAGAAAACGGGGGCGGCAGGGTGGAGTGAGCGGAACACGTCGGACAGTGCATGCGATAGCAAGAGATCAGACACCATGGTAGCCTCGCTAAGTTCGTGACCAAAAAGCGGGCGGTTACGGTCTAAGGGGGAAACCACCGAGTTGAAGTCGCCGGCGAGGATCGTGGCAGCAGCTGCAGTGGGTTGCTCCAGTGCGGGAGTCAGGATGGATCTCCACCAGATCCGGCGGTCAGTAGCGGGTCTCGGCGCATAAATGGCGAGGAGGCGAAGTTGCTCCCGCAGGAAGTTGATATGTACGGAAAGGAGGCGGCCATCGGCGGAGGGGGACGGGGAGGTGAGAGTTATTGCTCTGTTGAAGGATAAGATGGAGATGCCACCAGGTTGCGGACATGGATGACCGTTTAAGTTTAGTGCGTAGAGGGTGGGTGCGTGTACCGAAGAGTGTGGGCGGAGTTGGAGTGACAGTCTAGGTAGGTTTTTTGAGAGACGTGTGTCCACCAAAATGAGAATGTCTGTGTGTGGTGGGGAGGTGGAGAGCCAGCGCTTCAAAGCGTTCCGTTTAACCGGCGTATTGATACCGTTGATGTTGAGGCAGCGAACTCGTAGGGGCGTTAGCATTTAACAAAGTGGGAGCCCACCGCGCAGAAGGGTGCGCGGATCCACGGGCATAGGTGTTTATTCAAGAGGGTAGGAGATTGGTGGTGGCTGTGGGTACCAGTAGAGCTGTCAACAAGTAGAAACTGAAGTTCGTGGTGGCTATGCTTGCGTGCTGGTTTTATTCGGACAATACCGAGGTCACACAGGAGTGATACCAGAGGGTGGGTGGCAGCAATAGTGTGTAGAGGTGCAACATACAAGTGAAACTTGGGCAGTTGTGTGCTATACTGGGGAGTATTAAAGAGGCTGATTGGTAGCGTATTGTCAATGTAGGGTTTGAAAGTGGAGTGATTGGTAGTTTGCGCAGATGGGAGAATTGGAGTGAAGATTGACAGAGAGATTGATATTACGTTCAACCTGACAAACACGGTGGTACGCGCATGGGTTGTAAATCCAAGGGCTAAATGGGAGCCAGCAAGGGGACACAACAAGGAAGGAACTAGCAACGGATCATAGCCAAAGTACACATGCCGCTGCGCTAAGGGCGGCCGCGAAGGAAGGCAGCCACCGGAGCCTTCTGCTGCAGCAGGGTGAGTGCGCGCCAAGGACCAAAGCCTTCCTTGGCAGCCGGGCGGTGAGCGGAGGCCTTCACGCGGGTGGCGTGCAGGTCGGACTGGATATGCTCCATGGCGCTGTCGAGGGCAGCGCCGCAGGTAAAATCGCAGAGAGCGCAGGTCCAGTATTCGACCCAGTCGCCCAGCCCGATGTAGAGGAGGCCGGGGTCGTTGCGGAACGCGGTCGGCGCGGCATGATTCCCCAGGAGGTTGCCTGCAAGAGAGGGAGCGGTTGGGGGGGTTGGGGGGAGGCGGGGGGGGCAGGGGGGGCGAGGGGTTGAGCAGAGGTGCAGGAATAAGGGGGGCAGGGAGAGTCGGGGGAGAGGGGCAGGTGGGGGAGGTGAGGGTGAGAACCGAGAGAGGGGGGACCAGGTGGGCTGGATGGCAGCGTGGGGAGGGGGGTGCAGGGAGGGGGGGAAGGCGCGGGGAACGGGCGGGGGAGTTCGGAGGCCCAGGCGGGGGGGGAGAAGAGGCCAGAGGGGGGTGGAGCGGCCTGCTTGAGAGCGATGTGGGAGAGACCAGGGAGAGGGGGCTGTTGGAAGAGGGGGGGAGCCTTTGTGGGGGTCGGGCGGCCCGGTTAGAGCGCTGGGGACGATTGCTGTTGGGTTCCTGAGAGGGTGGGGGGTGGAGAGAGTAGGGGTGTGGGGGGCAGGCAAGAATGTGGGTAGGGGGAAAGGAGAGGAGGGGAGTCGGGAGATGGGAAGGGGGGGGAAGGAGTCGGCATGTGGGGTGAGCAGGGGAGGGTGCTGTTTGAAGCGGGGGGATGGGACAGGGGGAGGGGAGCGTCTCCATGCCGGCATAGGGGTGGGCAGGGGGCCCGTCCTCTGGGGAGACCATGGGAGGGAAGGCATCTGGAGTGGGGGGAATGTTGGGAGGGGGCAGGGGGGGGGGATCCGTAGGAAGATGCAGTCTGCGAGGGGGGGGGAGAGCAGGGGGAGGGTGCGGGTGGGGGGCGAGCACGTGGGATGGCGGGGGTCCGTCCTCCGAGGGGGAGGGGGAGGGTATGTTGTGGGGGGAGGGAGTGTAGTGGGGGGAGGGGTTGGAGTGGGTAGGGGCAAGGAGTGGGGGATCGTGGGTAAAACGGAGGCTCCGAGACGCGGAGATTGCGTGGGGGGTTTGGGAATGTGGGGGAGTCATGAGGGTGGGCAGAGGCCCAACTGTAGGGGGGGCAAAGGAGGGTAAGGTGGAGGCAGGGGCTAAGCATCCTGGGGCGGGGTCTTGCCTGCAGGGGTCGGGGAGAGCAGGGAGGGAGGGGTGGGGCGGGGAAGGCGAGTGAGTGAGTGGGGGCCCCACGACACGGGGGGCCGGGGAGGGGAGTGCTGTAGGGGAGAGGTGAGGGGCGAGGGTGAAGGCAGGGTGAGGGGGGGCACCTGGCGCGGGGGAAGGGGTGAGAGGAGCGAGGGGAGGGGGTAGGGGCAGATTGAATGTGGGGTGGGCAGGGACACAGGCAGCCGTCCGGGGGGGGAAGCAACAAGGCAGTGGGGGGGGGGGGGGGCTCTTAGGGAGAGAGGGGGGGCGGGGGGTGTACGCGGGGGTTAGAGGGGAACCGTGCGGTTGCGGGATAGGGAGAGGGCAGATCGAGGGGGAAGTGGTGACGGGCTGGGGGACAACGGGAGAGCGAATGAGAGGGCATCGAGGGCAGGCTAGGGGCGTGCAATGACAACAGAGAAGGAGGGTGCTTACAGCTGAAAAGCGAGCAAAGGATATCGTACCGTTTGCCTGCTGCAGTTGAGCAATTGAGATCGTGTTCTTGTTCGTGAGGCGCCCGCGGTGGCGAGCGGCAAAAACCTCGTGGTCCGATGCGCGATGGTTGTTACCACACAGCGCGCACACATGGCAGGAGAAGTTGAGCACCATAGCAGGCTTGTTCGTGTCCAGCAGAATTTCGGATGGGATCCGTTCGAAGTTCGGATCATCGGGGGTGGCGACCGGGAGCCCTGCGAGGTGGGTGAAAAAGGTATCCTCGTAGGGGTCGGAGGCACGGTGAAAGTCAGTGAGGTCCGCCAGCCAGTGCGCGCCATCCTCCTCCGTGGCTTCGAGGAGAGAAACGCGGATGTCCTCTGGATCGAATTCCAGGGGAACGTTTCGAATGGAGAGGGTGGGGGAGCCGGCTGCCTTTGCTGCAGTGAAGGTTTCGAACCTGTCGACATAGAGTTTCACCGTAACAGGGCGGGAGTTGGGGATTTTAAGCGCAAGGGGAAAGAGCTTGCGGAAGGCGGCAGCGTCCTCCTGTGTCGGCCAGGAGAAAAGCAGGCGGCCATAAACGCGGCGGGCCACGCGGAGGGGTTCGCCAACCGTTTGCTCGAAGGGCGGGATGACGCCAGAGTCGAACATGAAACCGCACAGCTGCACGTTAATGCCGGCGAGAATGTCCGTGCGTTGCGACTCCAAAGCGGACTCCGGGAGGAGGAGTGTGACAACCACGCGACGGCGGAGGGGGAGGAGCATAGGGGTGGCCGCGTCCGTGCGCGCGCGGCGAAGATTGCGAGGGGGTCCGCCCGGTGCGGGGGAGGCAAAAAGCGAGGCGGGCAGCGCGGGGGCCGGGTTAACACCAGAGGCGACAGCCGCGTAGGCAGCCGCGCGGAGGGCCGGGGCGTTGGGGGCGGCAGCAGTTGCTGCCAGAGAGGGCGCGGGGCTTTGCAGAGGCGACGAGGGAGCAGCAGCAGCAGCAGGGAGCACAGGAGACTGCGCGGCTTGCGCCAGCGCCGAATCGGAGGAGGTTGAGGGGGAGTTGAAGTTGGCAGGGCCAGCACTAGAGTCCATGCAGGGCTTCTTCGCAGCAGGGTGGTCGGGGGAGCTCTCGAGCTCGTGCATGAGTCCTTCGGGAAGGTCGTCGACCAAGAGGTCCACTCCGGACTCGGCGAGGGTTTCCTCCTCGGCGGCGGACATCGTGAGATCGGGGTTGAAAACCTGCTCAGACATAATGTGGAAGTTGTAAAGGAGTCGTGGGGGATTGGGAGACAAGAAGTGAGAGAATGACGGAGGTTGAGGTGAGTTAAATAGGACGAGAACGAGGGAGCGCCCGCGAGGGAGCGTCCGGACGGAGGGGAGGCAGAGGAGCGGCGGAAACGGACAGACGTGAGACCGTGGAGGCGAGGCTCTGATGGGGTCTCGTTGGGGAGGGTAAGGGGGAGGGCGGACGGGAGGGGGAGTACCGGGGGTCGCGTGGGCAGCAAGTAGGCAGCGAGAAGCGTGGCGACGTGACGCGTAAATTGAGGGCCAGAGGCGGGAGTGGGTGCCTAGGTGGCAGCCCGAAACCCGGAACCGTTCGAGGGTCCGAGCGCTTGCGCGCGGGAAAAGAAACTGGAGGCCTAGGCGGCGCGCCGAGTCTCTGAGCCATGTAGTGGGCTCTGCCGGAAGCGGCAATTGAGTGAAATACGGAACAATGGCAGCGATATTGCCAGGGGGGACGGGAAGTCCGGGATTGCTGGCGCTTGGACAGGCATGGAAATACGGAAATACGGAGAACGGATGAGATAGCACGTAGAAGAAAAAGGCGGGACGAAGGAAGTAGTGGCGGCGGCCAAAAAAACGGGAGGAGAATGGGGGTTAGCTGTGTTCGGCGACTGGGGTTTGTCGAGGGAGTCCTTGGTGCTCGCTGCAGAACGGGACAGCTTGGCAGGAGGAGGCCGATCTGTTGGTGGGGGTTGGGAAGAAACGCAGCCGGACTTCCTGGGAGGAAGGGGCTGAGGCGAGGGAGTGAGTGAGATTGGGTGAGTGCGCACGAGAAAAGGGGAGGAAGTTAGGGTTAGCTGGCGCTGAGGTTGGAGCTGAAAGTTGCAGTGAGCGCGAAATGCCACGGGGGAAAAAGAAAGGGGGAAGGCAGCACTTACCTGGACGGAGAGTTGACGTGGAACATTGAGGGCGAGAGGGAGTCCGCGAGTGATCCGTTGAGGGGAGGAGTGGCCAATGAGTGTCAAAAAATAGAAAGGAGCGGGGAGTGGGGGACTGTCCTGCTGGTGTAGAGCCGCGCTGGGGTGTAGCGAAGTGAAAACGAGGGCTGTAAAAAGGAGAAACGATAGCATAAACTTACCTGGAAACGAGGCTGAGTCGTATAGGGGGAACCTGCCTAGTCGGCTTAGGGTTTGACTGGCTTCGTTGCCTAACAGGCGGGTAGTTTGGGCCAAGGAGGCCATCGCGCTATCCAGAAGAGTCGCTCGAGAGAACGCTTGCAATGGCAACAAGGGAGCCACACAGCACCAGCCAAAGAAAACAATTGCAATGGTACACACGATGCCCGTTTGACTAACCCAAGGTTGCCTTGCTAAGAGGGCTCTTAAGTGATTCTTGCATTTCGCTAAGCTTTCGTCAATTCGCACTTAGTAAAAAGGGCTTTTAAAAGATTTTGTAACTCGCTGTTGACCGTTTGACATGGGTCTCTTCTGTCAAACTTCGGTTTTTGTGGTTCGTATTGCTTGCTTATAAATGGGGTGCAACTGCCTGGTACCCTAATACACGGGTGCAGAGTTTCCATCGCGGGCAGAGCAAATTCGCGTGCAGGGGTTGGGCATCTTGTAAAGGAGAACCCAAAACCCGAAACTGGATTTCGCGAGGCGTTTTGGGCACAGCCACAAACTTCTTCTCAGCACCTTTCGCTGCTGAAACTTCAGTCTGAACATTCATACCCATTTTCGTAGCGAAACCTTTTGTTAGGTAAGTTCATAGCTTCCAATTAGTGTGTACTTAGTACTAGCTGAGACCCAAGAATGACCCTACACTGCTTCATAGAGCTTCACGTATCACCTTTCGTGGTGTCAATCTCTGTTAGTTACTGCCTTCGACGGTCACATGAAGATTTACGAGCTCGTCCTTCGATCGAGCAGCCGTCCGAGTCGCCCGCGGCGTTCGCTCGCGGTCAATTATCCCCAACCGTCGGTTCGCGCATGTGCGCGCCCAAACCCCCTTTCCGTACATTCCCCACCAACACACCGCCCTATTTACCCCCGCCAAACCCCCCTTGACCAATGATGCCACGGTGTTTTTACAGCTCCCACTGTTAGGGCGTGTCTGAAGTGCAAACGTCGAGTTTCGTCAAATTTCGTCGACGAAACTCATCCGTCCCACGCGTGTTGGTGTCTGAAGTGCAGCCTGACATCCCTCGACGAAACTCGACGTTCGTGCACATGTCGAGGGATGTCGAGCAGTGATACCGGGCAGCTGTTTGAGTCACTGTAGTCAGTGAGTGTTTCAAAAACAATTCTTCGACACGCCATGTCTGCATAGCTGTGGCAAACACACGTGAATAAGAACTAAGACGAGAGCGACACGTGCTAGAGAAATTTCGCTGGCAATGTGACAGTAGAATATCCGGTGTTACCAGCAACAATCTATGCTAAGCGAAATTCGCGAGATTGCAAACAATTGAGTTACATGAATGATTCTGTTAATTCCACGTCGAATTTTCATGGGCAACTTATAACAGTGTTCCTATGGCACGTGTGGGTTATTTTGTCGTGTGGGTGTCTGAAGTGAACACAGCTGAAAACGGATGTCGAGTTTCGTCAAGGAACGTCGACGAAAGTTTCGTCGGCAAACGTCGAAATTCACTTCAGACACGCCCTTACAGGCATGGTGACATCAACCCTAGCCGCTGGTTTGCCATCTCCGACGGCGACGCGATGATCTGCTTCCCGAGTCGCCTATTCCGCCGTGCAATCATCCAAGCCGCTCATTTTACAGCTTCCCATCCGCGTTAGAAGCGAGCCGCTAGCTCCGAGCTGAATTTTCCCACCCCAAAGAGACATGGAAGGGAAACTTCAGCCTTTGGGATTTGACGAGACTTCGAAGTACAAATACCAACCGAAACCTGCTTCATCTTCATCCCAACCATCTTCGTGAATTCGCCCCCGCTTCTACCGTAGAAGCCTATTCCAGAAGCCTTTCTTTGTCGCATTCGACAGCTTTCAAAGCTCTTAACGACATTAGTTGCAAGATTTCCGCGCAACCATGGCTGCGAATCTCGTCCGCTGCGCCGTCGCCCTTTTCGTCGTGTCGCTCGTGAGCCTGTCCTTCGCGCCGGCCGCGGAAGCTCAGCGGCCGTACTGCCGCTTCGACGGGAGGCTGGTGATGAGCAACCTGGTGAGGGAGCTCAAGGCGGCCAAGAAATACTCCACATTCCTGGACGGGCTCAGGAAAACAGGTCAGACTCTTTATTATTTGCTCCGAGTGGGAGCGGTGAAACTGAATATTTGGCAGCAGCACAGCGTCAATTGTTTTTTTGCTCACTGATTCCTTTCGTTCTTTTTTTGTTCTGCCCGCCGTCGCCGCCTCGCCAAGGCTGAACAAGGACCTGCACGACCTGTTCCACTGCTACGTTACACGCCCTTCAACGTGCCGCTCTCTCTCGTTTTCCCCCAGGGCTGGACAAGGATCTGCGCGACCTGTTCCACTGCTACGAGGCGACCGTCTTCGCTCCCACCGACGCCGCGTTCGCAGGGCTCTCCAGCAGCGTCAAGGCGAAACTCAGCGACAAGAAGGTGCTTCGCGAGGTGCTGCTGCTGCACATCGTCAAGGGCAAGAAATCCAACGCCAAGCTGATCGAACAGAAGAAGGGGCATCAGGTGAGGATAAAAAACATATCCCTACGAATTTCAACTGGCGGTGTTCCTTCTGCTACAACTGCTAAGTCGGCTTCGTTCTCATCCACCCTCGTTTTCCCCCCTCGCATCTAACGTCAACTCACCCAGTGGCCACCCCCATCCCGCATTTTTCCTCTGCAGTACGAAGCTGCAGCAGACTACTGCAAGGCGCGTCTGGTGAAGGTGTCATCTGCGGGGACCAAGAAGGCCAAGGTGAAGGCCGAAGGCGGTGTGGACGAAGCTGCAGTGGTGGCTGCTGACGTGGTGTCGCTGAGAGTGGTGGTGGCGCATGGTGTGGATGACGTCATCCTGCCTAAGACCCTCCGCAAGGGCGACAGCAGCAGCCTCAAGCCTAAGAAGTGCATTGCCTGGTACAATTGAGCTGGCTACTTAAGTAGCTGGTTACCAATTGAGCTTGTTGCCAGCCTATGTTGAGCTGCCATAACCACTACCCTAAGTTTGCAATGTTGGAGGTGTGGTGTGCTTGCTGTTCCAGCGGAATTTACCATCTGCAAAGCATGCATGCCCTTTAGTGGTAGCTTGTCTTGGCTGCTGGAGGCATGGGGTTGCTTGTTTGGTTTGGTGGGCTGGGCTGTTTGTGATGCAAGTATAGAAGTCACTTGTGGAATGGTGTATGCTAGAAATCTGTAATAAAATGTGTTAAGATCACTGGAGAACGTAGCACCTGTGAAATCTGAAGGACCCTGTAGTAACACATGGCAACCCTACTCCCATGCATGCTTGATGCATGCAGCAACACATGGCCAAGCACTCTGTAGTACTGTATGTGAGCATTTCCTTTCCGTGCCTGGTGGTCTACTATGACCTCCCACACATGACCCTCACATCACATCACATCTTCACCATGGGCCATGTCAGCAGGCAGCTTAGCACATAAATGCCGGACCAACTCCTCCCATGTGATGTTGGGAAACCACGCCAGACAGGTATAAGCCAGTGTATCTTCAATGTACCATAAGCTCCCGGATAGAAGACCCAGGGGTCTTAGGGTGTGTTGTGTTGTGTAGCGAGAAACTTAGGGTGAACAGCAGGAATGTGGCACCTTTTATAGGACGGGGTCCTGGAACTTCGGCATCAGGCCATTTAACTCACGTGCGCATCTTCTGGTTACGCATCCAGTTACTCATCCCATTACACAAACCATTGCACACCCCATTACACATCCTGTTACGCCTTCACTGATAACCACAGCTAGTGCAGGCGAGTAGCTTTCCCATAGGCATGGCGAGGGCGGTTGAAGAGCTGCAACAGACTGTACACCCAGCGATCCAGCATGCCTGGTAGGGGAGGGGGAGGGGGTTGGAAAAGATAAAGGTGAAAGAGAGGGGGTGGCAGGACATGAGAGTTGGGAGAATGAGAGGGCAGGAACGAGGATGAGGTGCAGCGGGCTGTACACCCAGCGATGCAGCATGCCTGGTGGGGGGGGAAGGAAGAAGCCGGGGGCAGAAGGACATGATACAGTACTTGGCAGGATGGCATGAGAGAGGAGGTGCAGGCCACGGCGGTTGATGAGCTGCAACAGGCTGTACACCCAGCGATCCAGCATACCTGGGGGTGGGGAGATGGTATGGAATGCCGGAGAGGCAGGGAAGGAAAAAAAAAAGGGTACTTGGCAGAGAAGCATGAGAGGGGAGGGAGGGCAGGAACGAGGGCGGTTGAATGAGGTGCAGCGGGCTGTACACCCAGCGATCCAGCATGCCTAGTTGTGGGGGGAGGGGGGGTCAACGAGAGTTGGGAGAATAGAATAAGAGGGGCTGCTGATGAGCTGTAGTAGGCTGTACACCCAGCGATGCAGCATGCCTGGTGGGATGGGGGGAGGAACGATAAAGGGCGAAAGAAAGGGGTGGCAGGTCATGAGAGTTGGGAGAGTCGAATGAGAGGACAGGGACGAGGGCGGTTGAATGAGGTGCAGCGGGCTGTACACCCAGCGATGCAGCACGCCTGGTGGGGGGATGGGATGGAAGCGGGGGGCAGGGAGGTGCAGGGTGAGAGAGAGGGAGGGACGGACATGATGCTTGGCAGGATGGCATGAGAGAGGAGCTACCGACGAGGGCGGGTGGTGAGGTGCAGCAGGCTGTGCACCCACTTCGCGATCCAGCATGCGTGGGGGAGGGACGGGATGCCCAGGGCATGCAGATAACAGGTTTGAGTCGACTCCAAACTGAGCTTTTCCCCCCTGTGCGCCCCACCCCCCTGTGCGCCCCACCCCCCTGTGCGCCCCCCTCCCCTGTGCGCCCCACCCCCCTGTGCGCCCCACCCCCCTGTGCGCCCCACCCCCCTGTGCGCCCCACCCCCCTGTGCGCCCCACCCCCTGTGAGGGCGCATGTGCCGCCCAGCACAGAGCAGAGGCGAGTGAGGAAGTGGAGCAGCCAAGGGCGAAATTAGCACAAGGGGCAGAGGAGCAAATGTGGTGCCCCACCCACCAGTGAGCGCGAACGTGCCGTTCCACCCACCTGTGAGGGCGAAAGTGCCGCCCAGCACGGCGCAGAGGCGCGTGAGGAAGTGGAAGAAGCTGCGGTGCGACTCGGTGATGCTCACTGCTATGGGCGAGAGGTCGTACAGGAAGTAGACCGCTGCAAAGGGGGGATAGGAAGGGGGGATGGGGAGGGGAAAGGGGGAACGAGAGAAGAAGGGTGGAGAGTGGGGAAACTGTGGTGCGAGTAGGTGATGCTCACTGCTATGGGCGAGAGGTCGTAGAGGAAGTAGACCGCTGCAAGGGGGGAGGGAAGCACGGGAGGTGGGGAAGAGTGGAGGTCGGGAAGTGTGGGAGGGGTGGCAGGGAGGGAGTTTTAGGGTGAGGGATGCAGCGAGAGGGGTGAAAGGGGCGAGAGGGGTGGAAGGGGCGAGAGGGGTGAAAGGGGCGAGAGGGGTGGCAGTGGCAAGACGGGTGGCAGTGTGCGTGCGCATACCTGGAAGTACGTTAGCACGATGCATACCTGGCAGGGCGTTGGACTGCGGAGAGGAGGGAGTGAAGTATTCACTGATGGAGTACTGGTTTGTCTTCACAGTCCCCCCGTGCCAGAAGCGTAAGCGCGTGGGCACCACCTGAGGGGAGACACACACGGGGGATGTATAGTGGGAAAGACGTGGACTAAATTGTGTAACACCGCTCCCAACCCACTTGAATTCACTAATGGAGTACTGGTTGGTCTTCACAGAGCCCCCATGCCAGAAGCGGAAGCGCGTCGGCACCACCTGAGGGGAGACGGGGGGCATAGTATAGATGTGACGTACTTAGATGCACTGCACCGCTCCCAACCCCCCACGGCAGAAGCGGAAGCGCGTGAGCAGCACCTGAGGGGAGGCGCGGGGGGGGGGATGGGGGGGATACGAAGCACTTGTATGCACTGCACCGCTCCCAGCCCGAGAACTGTTGGGTGCTCAGGTCGAAAGTAAGGGGTGTTCTTCACTGACCTGAGCCGAGTACTGATTGGTCTTAACAGAACCTTGGTGGGTGGTGTGGCACAAGGAGAAGCAAGGGGGCAGCACCACCTGAGGGGAGAAAAGTGGTTCAGGAGCACCAGAAGAACTGGATGGACCGAGCGAGGTGAGGCTCGCCTTTGACGATTCTCATCAGTGATGCGAGGTACGGTAAGAGTGAGGTACGGTAAGAGTGAGGTACGGTAAGAGTGAGGTACGGTAAGAGTGAGGTACGGTAAGAGTGAGGTACGGTAAGAGTGAGGTACGGTAAGAGTGAGGTACGGTAAGAGTGAGGTACAGACAGCAACGACGACGCGCAAACCATCCAGTGGCTGAAGAGCTGTCGCGGTCACTGCTGGTAACCACCCCACTTGAGCCAGCTTGCGGACGGAGCGGTGGTTGGGTTGGGATGGGATGTGCTGTGCCAGGCAGTGCCTGCCAGGCGATGAGCTCCTGGGCTCGTGGGCTCGTGGGCTCTTTAGCACCGCACCGCACTGCAGCTGACGAGGTGAGGAGCTCTAGCCTCTCGGGTTGGGTTGGGTTTGTGTCCCCTGCTGGCGAAGTTGGATGCTCTTGAACTTGCGTTGCGGTTGCACTTCAAGAGGGATAGGCTTAATTTGGCGCACCCACCCCCTGAGGAACTCCCACTCCCTAGAGGTGATTGGCGATGCGACCACTGGGGACAAGATGGAATGGAGTATCATGCGGTGGAGTGCGGTAGGGATGGCTCACCTTGAGGAAGTACTTGAAGGTGCCACTGGATCTGGAAGGGTCCTCCCCCTCCTTGAGGGGCGGCAGGACACAAGGGAAGAGCAAGCGGTGGAGTGCGGTGGAGATGGCTCACCTTGAGGAAGTACTTAAAGGTACCACTGGAGCGGGCAGGGTCCTCCCCTTCCTTGAGGGGCGGCAGGATGCGGACAAATCCGTCCAGAGGGTTGAGCCGCCCAGGATAGGGCACTCCGAAACCGAGTGAGTGGATGACGTGCGACACGTTCACATCGCCCACTGATGAGAAGACCTGGTGGGGGAAGGCGATGAGAGTGGGGGACGAAGGGAAGGAAGGTGGTTGTGAGGCAGTCGGGATTCGGGAAAGGTAACGAAGAGGAAAGCATTGAGAACCGAGGTAGTGGATGATGTGAGACATGTTCACATCATCCACTGACGAGACGACCTGGGAGAGGGGAGGGAGTGGGGAGGTTGAATGGAAGGAAAAGGGAAAATAAAGCACTTCGAAACCGAGGGAGTGGATGATGTGAGACATGTTCACATCGCCCACTGATGAGAAGACCTGGAGTGGGGGAGGAGAGGGGGGGACGAAGGAAGGAAGGTGGTTGTGTGAGGCAGTTGGGAAAAGTACCGAAAGCAGAGAGGGAGAATCAGGCAAACGGCAGGCAGCAGCTCAACTGCTGCAGCACGAGGTATGACTGGCCGTGCATCGATACATGGAATGGAAGTTGCTTGATGCACACCGCACCTGCTGCATAAACCCCACCCACCACATAACCGCATTGTACCTGCTGCAGCACGAGATAGGACTGGCCGTGCACGGACACGTGGAAGTTGCCTGCCACCCTCTCCACTGATAGATGGCCGTACAGCTGGGGTGACAGGGAAGGGAAAGTAGCAGGGAGGAGGGAGTGAAGGGAAAGGCAAGGGGGGGGGGGACGTAAGTTGCCCGCCACTCTCTCTCTCCACTGACAGATGGCCGTACAGCTGGAGAGAGGCGGGGAGCACGCAGCACAGAGTGGACAGGAGAGGGGAAGGGAGCAGGTAGTTGCGCGAAAGGCAAGGGGTCAAGGGTGGAAGTTGCCTGGCACCCTCTCCACCGACAGATGGCCGTACAGCTGGGGAGAGGTCACAGGGTGCAAGGAAGCAGGAAGAGGGAAGAGGGAACAAGGAAGAGGGAGCAGGGCAAGAGGGAAGAGGGAGCAGGGAGGGAGTGAAGGGAAAGGTGAGGGGGTCGAGATGGAAGTTTCCCGCCACGCTCTTCACCTCCAGTCCAGATGGCCGTACAGGTGGGACGAGGGCAGAGGGAGCAGGGCGCAGGGCGGAGGGCGCAGAGAAGAAGAGTGGGATTAGGGAGTGAAGGTAAAGGCAATCGGACGAAGGTGGAAGTTGCCCGCCAACCTATCCTGCGCAGGACGGCGGGAAGTGAAGGGAAGAGGGACAGACAACACAGCATGGGGCAGGGAGCAGGGAGCAAAGAGCAAGAGCAGGGAGCAAAGAGCAAGAGCAGGGAGCAAAGAGCAAGAGCAGGGAGCAAAGAGCAAGAGCAGGGAGCAAAGAGCAAGAGCAGGGAGCAAAGAGCAAGAGCAGGGAGCAAAGAGCAAGAGCAGGGAGCCCGGAGTAGGGAGCAGGGAGTGCAGGAAAACGGGGGGGGGTTGAGGGGAAGGGAAAATGGTGAATGGGGGGAGCAGAAAAGGGGACGGAATTGGAGAGGGGTCAAAGGTGGGAGGCACAGAGACGAGAGCTGGCGGCAATGTTGTGGTGCTTGTTGCCCTTCCCACCCCTCCCATCCCCCCTCCCACCCCCTCTCCCCCCTTAACCACAGGCACATGGCCGTGCGAACATATGGGGGAAAGAGGCAACAGAGGCGGCAGAAGCAACTGAACATGAGAAAGTGGAGAAACATGATTGCAGGGCTTCGCTCCAATGCTCTCACACCAACATTGACCACAACAACAACCGCCCCACCGCTCACACACACCTGCCCACCCCATCCCCTCCCTCCCTCCCCGTCCACCCACACGACTGACCAGGCACCCCTCTTCATAACTCTCCCTCTCCCGCTCTACACACATGCCAATTCACGCTCTCACACATAATACCCCACACACTCCACCTACCTGGCAGCCCTCCCCGACGGCCATGGCTTGCTGCACATCCAACACCGTCTGCTCCAGCCCTCCCTTCCCCCAGCCACTGCCTCCCCCACCATCTACAACCTCTGTCCATACCTGTCCCAGACCCATACCCCATATACATACATACCTGGCACCCCTCCCCTGCAGCCATGGCCTTCTGTACGTCCAGCACCATCTGCTCCAACCGTGCCTTTCCTCACCTACTGCCTTCCCCCGCCCACCCCGCCCCACAAACATGCCCACCCCCACACGCACCTGGCACCCCTCCCCTGCTGCCATGGCCTTCTGTACGTCCAGCACCATCTGCTCCAGCCCCACCACCTCGTCCCCCTCCTCCTCCTCCTCTTCACCCTCCTCCTCGCCCGCCTTCCCCTTCTGTCCCCCTGCCGCGTGTGCCTGCCCGTACCCATGCGCGTGCCCGTGCCCATGGTGGGGCGTGGGGGATTTACCGTGCGAGTGGCCTGTGGTGGGGAAGAAAAAGGCGAAGGGGGTGTTGGTTTGCCATGCACAACACATGCACCCACGTGTGCGGTGCCTGCCCGTACCCGTGTGCGTGCCCATGCCCATGGTGGGGCATGCGGAATTTACCGTGCTGGTGACCTGTGGTAGGGAAGGAAGCAGTAACGGGAAGGCATGTGTTGGTTTACTCTATCCCTCCCCCGCTTCTCCCTTTTGTCCGCCTGCCATGTGTGCCTGCCCCACCCGTACCAGTGCGAGTGCGCATGGTGGGGCGTGGGGGATTTGCCGTGCGTGTGGCCTGCGAGAAGAGGGGAACAGCGTGGAGGATTTTCCACGAGTTGTATGCACAGCTGCATGCACAACACATGCACCCACTTGTGCTGCGCCTGCCCGTACCGTGCTCATGCCCATCTAAGTTGGAAAAAACGCGTTTTGCGTTTAGTATGCTTTCGTATAAACGCTAGCGTCTAAACGCAAAACGCTGGCCGTGAGGGGCCTGGTACGCACAAGAATCCGCTTGCCCGGGCAGGAAAAAAAATTCCCCGGGCAGAACGCTGGCCTGTAGGGGGTCTGGTACGCACAGAATTCGCTGGTGAGATAAAAGGGAAGAAAACGAACGCAGAGCATCGAAGGAAAAATTGACCTAACATTGAAGTGTCTACGACAAAGCTGGAAGGGATTGAGCGGTGGATAGGAGGGGATGATTCACAAACAATTTCGAAATTCAGATCTGAGGTTGCATTCGCAATGTGCGAACTCAGATCTGAACTTCGAGGCTCAAATTTTGAGTTCGCCACCAGATTGCGAACTCAACTCTTTTTTTTTTCCGGTCAGCCCGAGCAAACTTTGGCGAATCTCAACATAATACGCAGCGTACGAATTCCAGATGCGTATTAACTCAATACGCAATTTCGAATCTGCGTTTTTTCCAACTTAGATGCCCATACCCATGGTGTGGTGTGGGGGGTTTACCGTGCACCCAAGTGTGCCCCCGTACCCATGCCCATGTCCACAGGGGGGCGTGGGGGACTAGCCATGCGTGCGGCAAGTTCCTCATGTGTGCCCTGTGTCTTGCTTCGTCCCCATGTTCACTTCCAGTCGCTTTGAATAGGAGTGGCTTTCAGGACTTCTCAAAACTGTGAACGGTCTTAACGACAACTTCCTCGATCACCTCGCCAAGTCCTGCCCCAAGCTGAAAGCGCTGCATGTAGCACCAGGGAGAACAATCGGTTATTTGCCGTATGTAGTGTGGAATGATATACTTTCGGTGACCGATGCTGAGCTGGACGACTTCTTCCGTCGCTGCCCGCAGCTGGAGCAGCTCACACTCCACCGTCGCGACGCGCTACCGCCGTCCTTCTTTCAGCTAGCGAATCTGCGCTCTCTGTATCTCACCCAAGCCTCTGTTCTCTCGAATTCAAGCCTGACGAATCTCTCTAACCTCTCAACTCTCACCATCGTGTCCTCTCCCTTAAGGGTGGACCACCTGCAAGCTCTCACTCAACTCACCGCCCTTACCAGCCTATCCTTGCGCACTTCCATTCATTTAGAAATTTTGGGACCTTCCTCCATCTCGTTCGGCCTCCTGTCATCCCTCCAATCTCTGGTGTGTGTCCTCGAATGCAACTCGCTTTTGTTTGGATCCCAGTGCAGATTCCTGAAGCGTATGTGGTTCTCACATTGCGACGATCTCACGCGTATCCCTGACGGCATCAAAGGCTTGTTGCCATCGCTTGAAGAGTTGCGCCTCACTTGGTGCTCCGCTTTGGCTGAGGAAAGCAAATCCGTTTGTCAGATCAGTCAAAGCGGAGCACCAAATGAGGCGCAGCTCTTGAAGCGATGGGAGCAAGCCTTTGATGTCGTCAGGGATACGCATGAGATCGTCGCAATGTGAGAACGACATACGCTTCAGCAATCTGCACTGGGATCCAAACAAAAGCGAGTTGCATTCGAGGACACACACCAGCGATTGGAGGGATGGCAGGAGGCCGAACGAGAAGGAGGAAGGTCCCGAAATTTTTAAGTGAATGGAAGTGCGCAAAGATAGGCTGGTAAGGGCGATGAGATGAGTGAGAGCTTGAAGGTGGTCCACCCTCAAGGGAGAGGACACAATGGTGGGAGTTGAGAGGTTAGAAAGATTTGCCAAGCTCGGATTCAAGGGAACAGAGGCGTTGGTGAGATACAGAGTGCGCAGATTCGCGAGCTGAAAGAAGGACGGCGGTAGCGCGTCGCGACGGTGGAGTGTGAGCTGCTCCAACTGCGTGCAGCGACGGAAGAAGTCGTCCAGCCCAGCATCGGTCACCGAAAGTATATCATTCCACACTACATACGACAAATAACCGACTGTTCTCTCTGGTGCTACATGTAGCGCTTTCAGCTTGGGGCAGGACTCGGCGTGGTGATTGAGGAAGTCGTCGTTGAGATCGTTCACACACTCCAATCATGCCCTTGCCCCCCACACGTCCACAAACCTCACAATTAGACTTCTCGAATCACAGCTGTCGGCATGCCTCTATGGAGTCCGTGAACAACTACGCACCTGCCCCCGTGAAACAACCCGCAACAGAACCACCCACAGGAACATCCTCCCCCCTCCCTCCCCAACCCCCTTCTGACCTCACCTTTGCGCTTCTTGCTCTTGCTCTGCCGCCACGCCCCCGTGGGGTCCTTGAGCCAGCGCGAGTCGGCCAACTGACCATGGCGATCCAGACGAATCTGACGGGCGGGGAGGGGGGAGGAGGGAGAGGGAGGGAGAGGTGGGGACAGGGGGGAGAGGGAGGGAGAGGGAGGGAGAGGGTGGAGAGGGAGGGAGAGGGAGGGAGAGGGAGGGAGAGGAGGGGGGGAAGGAAGGGAGAGGAGGGAGAAGAGGGGGGGAGAGGGTGGGAGAAGGGGTCCTTAAGAAATGAGCTGAGCTGAGTGCACAGGTGGGGTCCCTGAGCCACCTCGGGCTGCCAACAGACCATGACGGTCCAGACAAATCTGAGGAGGGAAATTGGAGAGAGCAGGAGGGCGCTGCTGGTGGTGCGGAGGAGGAACTGCTGGTGGTGGGGGTGAGGGGGGCGGAGGAGGAAGAGGGCAGCAGGCAGGTAGGAGTGACCTGAGTGCACGGATGGGGTGCTTGAGCCACCGCGATTCTGCCAACCAGCCATGGCGGTCCAGACGGATCTGAGGAGGGAAATAGGAGAGAGCAGGAGGGCACCGGTGGTGGTGGGAGGGGCGGAGGAGGAAGAGGGCAGCGGGCAGGTAGGAGTGATCTGAGTGCACGAATGGGGTGCTTGATTCACCGTGAGTCTGCCAAGCCAACCGGCAGGGGAAGGCCCAAGGAGAGCAAGGAGCGGGGAGGGGGGAGGGGAGAATGGGGATGTACGGGGGGAAGGCGCGTGTGGAGCAGAGGGAGTAAGGGTGTGAGGGAGGAGAGGCGATGGGGGGTGCGGCCCACCGCCTTGCTATGCTATGGTGATGCAGACGGGTCTATATTGGGTTTATGATTAAGAATCCTTGAGAATTCCCAACGGATGAAAGGTTGGGACATGGAGAGGCAGACGAAGGGTGGGATGGGCAACGGGACTAACGGCAGCTGGTGAGGTAAATCTGAGCAACCTGTACTCGTTAACGAAACACCTCATCATACAATTGAAAGTACCTATTATGAAACGCCTCGTTATACAATGTGATTGCTTTAAAAAAGCCTCGTTATACCTTGTATTCGCTAAGGAAAGCCCATCATACCATGCACTCGTTATGCAAAGCCTCGTTATACCTTGTACATGTTTGTTGCGATGTCCACCTAGTGGTTGCCCGACATGTCCAGAGCATCGAGACTGAATCAGAAGCAGATACAATGATCCACCTGTTCCAGTGTCACTGGGTTACAGTGAGCGATGTACCTTGTACATGTTGGTTGCGATGTCCACCTCATGGTTGCCCGACATGTCCAGCGCATCGAGACTGATCACTGTGTGTGCCATGCAGCACCACACATGCATGGGTGGATATGCAATACACACACGCACGCACACACGCACGCACACACACACGCACACGCACACACACGCACACGCACACGCACAAGCACGCACGCACACCCACACGCACACGCACACGCACACGCACACGCACACCCACACGCACACGCGCGCGCACACACACACACACACACACACCCACCCACCCACCCACAAGTCCCCTCTTCCCCCCCCCCCCCCTACCCCCAAACGCACACCCACCCAACCACTCCCCCCCCACATCATACACAAACATGCATTTAAGCGATGCACACACGCATGCTCGCACACATGGTCCGTGCTCGCACACATGGTCCGTGCTCGCACACATGGTCCGTGCTCGCACACATGGTCCGTGCTCGCACACATGGTCCGTGCTCGCACACATGGTCCGTGCTCGCACACATGGTCCGTGCTCGCACACATGGTCCGTGCTCGCACACATGGTCCGTGCTCGCACACATGGTCCGTGCTCGCACACATGGTCCGTGCTCGCACACATGGTCCGTGCTCGCACACATGGTCCGTGCTCGCACACATGGTCCGTGCTCGCACACATGGTCCGTGCTCGCACACATGGTCCGTGCTCGCACACATGGTCCGTGCTCGCACACATGGTCCGTGCTCGCACACATGGTCCGTGCTCGCACACATGGTCCGTGCTCGCACACATGGTCCGTGCTCGCACACATGGTCCGTGCTCGCACACATGGTCCGTGCTCGCACACATGGTCCGTGCTCGCACACATGGTCCGTGCTCGCACACATGGTCCGTGCTCGCACACATGGTCCGTTCTCGCACACATGGTCCGTGCTCGCACACATGGTCCGTGCTCGCACACATGGTCCGTGCTCGCACACATGGTCCGTGCTCGCACACATGGTCCGTGCTCGCACACATGGTCCGTGCTCGCACACATGGTCCGTGCTCGCATGCATAGCCATCCAGCCCCCCCACTCCCCCACCCTCACATTCGCATGATAAGTCACACATGCAGAGATAGAAATAAACACAGGCAGTAGCAGGTGATTACTCAATGCGGAAATATACAATCAATTTTGGCTACTGATCCACTTATTATCTCAATCGGGGGAGATAATTTACGACGACGGCATGTACAGGAAACGCGAACTTGCAAAGGCGAAACAGGACAAGGGACGGCGCAAAGAGTGCAGTGGTGGAGAGGATGGGAGGGAGGGGAGGGGAGGGAGAGGGATGGGGACGGGTGGGATGGGAGGGGGGGGGGGGAGGAGACGCCGCGAGCATACAAATGCAGAGCAGGAGGAAAGGACATTGACAAGGGAAGGCATTAACGAAAGGAATGGAGAGGAAGGAGGAGAGGAGGAACGGGTGGAGGCGAGAGAGAGAGGGGGACGAGGACAGGAAGGTGGGTGGAAAAGGAGGCGGGACAATGCTGGTGAGCTCACCATTGCAGGGCAGGGAGGGAAAGGAGATGTTGAGATACACATCTAGCTTCTCATCCCTTGGCGTCTTGTCCACTGCCATCTATGGTTTGGGAGGGGAAGAGAATGAGAGGGAGGGGCGGGGAGGAGAGGCAATGGGGAAAAGATGTGGGCTTGAGGAAAGGAGATGTTCAGATACACGTCGAGCTTTTCGTCCCTTGGCGTCTTCTCCACTGCCATCTGTGGGTTGCAGGAGAGGGGGGAGGAGGGGAGGAGCGGAGGGGAGCGGACGGGAGCGGAGAGGAGAGGAGGGGAGGGAAGGGGAGGGGAGGGGAGGGGGGGGGGGAGGGGAGGGGAGGCAAGGAGACATGGGCTTAACTCAAGGAAAGGAGATGTTGAGATACACATCAAGCTTCTCGTCCGCTGGTGTCTTGTCCACCGCCATCTGCGAGGCAACGAGAAGTGGAAGCGAGGGGAGGGAGGGGAGAGGAGGGGAAGGAAAATATGGATGGGAGAGGATGCCGTTGAGAAAAAGACGAGGGCTGAAGGAAAGGAACTGTCTTAGCACACATGGAGCTTCTCGTCCCTTGGTGACTTGTCCACTACCATCTAAGGGGCGACGGGAAAGCGGAGGGGAGAGAGCGGAGGGGACGGGGGGGGATGCTGTTGGGAAGAAGACGTCAGATGGAGGGGATAGGAGGAGGAAAGAAGGGAGGGGAGGGGAGGCGAGGGGAAGAGAGGGGAGGGGAGGGGAAGAGAGGGGAGGAGAGGGGAGGAGAGGGGAGGATAGGGGAGGAGAGGGGAGGAGAGGGGAGGGGAGTAGAGGAGAGGGGAGGAGAGAGGAGAGGAAGGGAGAGGGGAAAGGGCAGGGGAGGGGAGGGGATCGGGAAGGAGCATGAAGGGGAGCATGTGTGTGAGTGTGTGTGTGTGTGTGCACGTGAGTGCATGACTGCATGTCCGTACGCTTGCCACTCTGTTCCGTTCCACTCACCTCCTCGTGCATCTCAGGTCAGGCGTGAGGACGAAGGAGAGCCTGTGTGTGAGTGAGAGTGCGCATGAGTGCATGCATGCATATGAGTTTGCTTATCATTCACTCCATTCCATGCCACCACGCCACGCACGCACCTCCTCAGGCACCTCAGGCGTGAGCACAAAAGAGAGCTCGTGGGCGAATGTGAGCAGATGTGAGCATGAGTGCATGTGAGCAGGCTAATCACTCCATTCCATTCCACCACGCCACGCACGCACCTCCTCATGCACCTCAGGCGTGAGCACAAAAGAGAGCTCGTGGGCGAATGTGAGCAGATGTGAGCATGAGTGCATGTGAGCAGGCTAATCACTCCATTCCATTCCACCACGCCACGCACGCACCTCCTCATGCACCTCAGGCGTGAACACAAAAGAGAGCTCGTGGGCGAATGTGAGCAGATGTGAGCATGAGTGCATGTGAGCAGGCTAATCACTCCATTCCATTCCACCACGCCACGCACGCACCTCCTCATGCACCTCAGGCGTGAGCACAAAAGAGAGCTCGTGGGCGAATGTGAGCAGATGTGAGCATGAGTGCATGTGAGCAGGCTAATCACTCCATTCCATTCCACCACGCCACGCACGCACCTCCTCATGCACCTCAGGCGTGAACACAAAAGAGAGCTCGTGAGCAAACAGCACCACCATGATCGCCACGCCCAGCAGCGTCACTGTGGGTGGGTGGGGGGATGATGGGAGGGAGGATGGGAGGGAGGATGGGAGGGAGGATGGGAGGGAAGGGTGCGGAATTGATGAGAGTATATGAGGAGTGAGTGAGCACCAAGATCCACTGTGCACGTGGGGGTAACTGTAGAGAGAGACACGAGGATGGGGAGAAACAGAGGCGGAGGGGAGTTGGGGGGGGATGGAGAGCGGAAGAGGGAGGGGGGGCTGGTAATTTGATTGCCACGCCTACCAGAGTCACTGTACACGGGAAGTGATTGTGGAAAGAATCAGGCAAGGAAAGGGGGGAAGGAAGGGGAGGTAGCGATTGCACCGCCTGGCTGGGTGGCTGGCTGGTATTGAACGAGAGCGGTGTAAGACGAGTTATGAGAGGGGTGGGGTGGGGGAGCCCTGGGGAACCTTACGCGAGGCCCTGGCTGGGGGCCCTGTGGTGCGGCAATGGTGCCGTACGTACCGAGGGCGTCTCGGTACGCACCCCTCGGTACGTACGTACCGACAGCGTCTTCTCAAAGAGGCGGTCCTCTGCCTTGGGGAACAAGTGCGCGGCACACCTGACCTGGGGAAAGCTGACCCCAACCGTATGTATGGAAGGCTCAAGTCTCATTGACGACACTCCAATCGAGCGTAACAATGCCCCAATCCGCACTGCCTGCGTTGCGTACCGATCGCGCCCGAGAGCGTCTTCTGCGTGAGGTGGTCCTCGGCTTTGGGGAACGCGTGCAGCTTCGAGATCGCGCCCCATTTCCCGCCCATCGCGATCAATTGCCTGCGAAACCGAGCGCTCTCCTGCTTGCGGCGGAGTGGCTTCGGTTTTCGCGCGGTGCGATCGACACTGGCGCTGCGGAGCGAATCGCGCGTGGACGAGGTTGGTTGAGCGCGGTGAGATTAGAACGGATTCACAAGGTTGGGTGAGAGCGGGAGCTGCGGAGAGGAATCGGAACCGGCGATGTGACGGCGGGTAAGTCCTAGGAACACGACGCGGCCAGTTTCTACACTACCCTAATACGGAATCGGAGCGCAATGCTGGGTAAAGGGACACGGTAAGCTGAATGTGGGGGGATTGATTGTGGTGTTGTTCTCGAAGTGGCTGTAAAATGTATTAGCAAAAAAAACATCGGTTCATAGCGGTTGCATGCTCTGCTCGCTGAAATTGTTCTAGAAGGTCCTAGAGGTTGGGTCGCGTTTGCTAACATGCTTTTCTGTCCTGGTGTTGCACTCGGATCGAGCTTAGAACTAGGTGAAAGTCAAACACGCAACTTTCAATGATAAAATACGGTAACAAAAAACATCAATGTCTCATGAAAGATTACTAAACCCAAGTAATCAGTGCGCAAATAAAAGCTTCCAGCGGCATCATAGTAACATGGACAAATCAGCGAGGCCCACTGTTTCATTTTAATCAAACCAGCTGAAAGGTCTTTCAATGTAGAGCCCAACCAGTGGTTAGTGCATCGTGTCACATCATGCCACATCGCATCATGCCGCACCATGTCATATCGAGTCGCACCGTCACATCTTGTTCCATCAGTTGCGCTGAGGTTGGTCACTGTACATAAGGGCGGCCCATGCCGCCCTACACCACACCTGTGTCAGTAAGCACGCGGGACTCTCCAGATGAGAGCCACGCACAGCACGCCCCTTCCCGCAGCTGCAGATGCTGCTTGCTTCTCCACACCACCGTGGCCGAATCACCCCCAGTCAAACTGCTGCTCCCTAACCCACTGCAGTGCAGATATGTGCACCTCTCAACCAGCAAGCAGCCCTTCTGTCAGGTAAGATCATTCATCAGCACAGCTTCCTTCTGTCATGGCTCCCATGGTCAGGTCACCCACCCACTCAGGCAGCCCCACCCTCATCCATCACCTCCCTACTTCACCTCCCTGCACCTTCCTCCTCCCTTCCTCCTTCCCATCACCTCCGGAAAAGAACAGCGCCATGGACCGCTGAACAATCAGCCCGTCACGCAAACCCCGCACCTTTTGAGCCGCCTCAAAAGTCACTCCTTCCAAATCCGCCCAGTAACTCTCAGCTTCAGCTCCTTCCCATCGCCCCCTGAGAAGAACAGCGCCATGGACCTCTGAATGATCAGCCCGTCGTGCGAGTCGCGCACCTTGCGGTGGCTGTCCCGGATGCTGCGCGGCACGCCCTGCCACATGAGCTTGCGCCCGTTGCCGCCCACCTCCAGGCTGTACCCAAAGGCCTTGGCGTCCGCGTCGTCCCCCATGAAGCGCAGAAACGCCATGTACACGGGGGCGCTGCCTAGCTGGAACGCCTCGAAGTGCAGACAGAAGTGCTGCCCGAAGCAGTTGAACACCTGGGGGGAAGAGCGCACGAGAGAGGGGGTGGGGAGCGGGGAGGGGAGGGAGGGAGGGGAACGGGGAAAGTGGGGAGAAGGGGGGAGGGGAAAGGGAGGTAGATGGGTGTTTGGGTGATTCAAACTACAGAGCAGTACTCGACGCCTTGGAACACATCATGTCCGCCCATGAAGAGCAGGAATGGCTCAACAGGGATCTCCTTGGTGGAAGCAGGAGACAAGAGGGCAGTAGCTGTGACAAGAGCAATGAGGAGTGGCTGTGCAACACCCAAATACCACGACACACACGACAACACTCCCTCATTCACACGCACCACCGCACTCCCTCATTCACACGCACCACAGCACTCCACTCACCGTGAGCATCCACGTGGCGTTTTCGACCTCCTGCGGGTTCTGCTTCACGTAGCGATGGTTGAACGTACTCCCGTTGTGCATGTCCACCTTATGATCATCCCTTAGATGCGCCACCAGCGCCAGCACGTCCCCCGTCACCGCACACTCCGACCCCGCGTACGGGCAGCAGTACGGCCGGAACGCGCACAGCGCCTCGTGCTTCACCTTGCAGTAGTAAGGCAATATTTCCGGGCAGCCGAGAGTGTGGTGCTTGCAGGGCAGCTCGAGGGACTCGGCGACCTTTTCGAGCGCGAGGCAGCGGATGTTGCCCAGCTCGTAGCGGCACGTGGGGCAGCGGTTGTGCACGCGCGCCTTGCAGTGCGAACAGAGCGTGTGGCCGTTGGGGCACTGTGCGGGGTGCGGGGAGGAGAGCGCGACGAGAGCGCGTGGCGATTGGGACAATGATGTGCAGGTGGGAAGGGTTGGTGCAAGTTTGAATTTACATTGACTGCAAGGCGGAGTTACTGGTCAGGTCTGAAATGCCCTGGGAGCGTGAGCGATTGAGAGTGTGAGCGATTGAGAAAAGAAAGAGCTTAATCGAGCGAACGTCAAAAGAGTCAGCGACAACATTGGGTAACGCGTGGGAAGTCAAACAAAGCAGTCGAGAGAAAGCGCAGCTCGCGACATCCCAACGATTCAGAGCAGAGTTGCAAGGTTAACAAGAATCTGCTTTAAGGAAAACAAACAATACTGAATCTGAACACTTCTTTACAGACTTGACATCGAGTTACAAGTGAATAGTGACGTTTACAAATGGAAGACGAGCTCACCTGATGAATGGGAGGGAACATGGAGTTGGTGCAGACGGGACACTCCAGTAGCTCGTGCACCCCGCCAGACGACATCACGGCGACTGGAGGCGACGTTTGCGTCGGCGAGTTACCAGACGCTTTCGCCGAGGAATGCGAAGGGTGTAGTACTATCGATGATCCCGGTGTGGCTCCAGACGACGATACGGGCTTGCCATGGCTCCTGGCTTGCCCGGAAGACACGCCGCCTTCTTCGGAGTCGTAAGTGAGCGAGGACGAGGCGTCCTCGCTGACTGACATTTCCGCCATCAGGTCGGCTAGGTCTGTTTCACGGCCTGGAGGCATTGTTTCACCTACTCTGTTCGCCTCGCTAGGACCAAGTGCTTGGCTATTGACTCGGGATTCGTCGAAACGGATTCATCGGAAAGGTGTAAGATGGTCGTGAATACGTTTGATGCGAACGTGAGGAAAATGACTCCTCAGTTCGCGGTTTTAGCTTGACGAGGCGTGGATTGTGGAAACCATGACGCCTCGCCTACTGAGAGTTTGAGAAAGACTCCGAGCTACGAACATTAAAAAAACGAGATAGACGCTACGACTTTGCTGCACAACCTTGTGTAAAATGCCAGGAAGACTAGTAACAGAATGTTAGGAAGACATAAGACCATAAAAAGGGTCGGCGGAAAATATTGACTAGCAATGCAAAAGTAGGAAACCCTAAAAGCACGGAGCGGGGAGGAGAGGAGAGGAGGGGAGGGGAGGGGAGAGGTAGCTCAAGCTCAACAGCTGAGGCTGAGGGGATGATGTTGTTGATGTTGATGTGCTGCTCCCAGGAGATGTGTGAGAGAGCATATGATGTGATGTGAGTTGGTTGGGATGAGGTGTTTTGGCATGGGAGGATGGTACAGTTCGTACGAGGGACGAGCATGTGCCAGTACAGTAGCACACGGCGTCATGGTTGGAGTTTTTGCGCGTTTCAAAATGTTTCCGTGCGGTTCATAGAGGTGAAGTGTCCAAAAATGCCTGAAACAAGTGGTACACCCTGTTTTTCGCTATTGTGGATCCCGGTATACTGAACCCTGTGTTTCAACACGCCAAAGGACGCGTTATAGTCAACTTTCGCCCCAGTGCACAATTTGACGAGTTCCGTTACCTTTTTTAACAGATGATAATGAAACTGTATATGCGCAAAACCCAACGCCCTTACCATGTCCTCAAATGCCCCTTTTTTTTCCTTCAGCTCTGTTTGTCCCGCTCCTGTTCCGTAACACGGCTGTCATGCTCGCAGCGCTCTTATCTCTAGTGGTGCTCGCGGCGGCCCTTCCTCGCCACGAGTCCTCATCCTCCCCGTTCCACGGCGGATTCGGCGCAGATTTCCACCTCCGTGGCCCCGTCGCCGCCGCCGACGGTGCTTTCCGCGACGAGAACCTTCCGCGATGGAACGCATCTGGCGGTGGGACCTTTACACCGTTCGTATTTTCGTCGCGCGGAAACCACAGCGCGCCGAGTCGCTAAGAATCCGGAAGTTCCACGCGAGTGGTCCGGCGGAACGCGCGCCGCCAGAAATTGTCGACGATCAGGTGTGATGAGGTGTGATGAGGTGTGTGATCTGCGTGATTTGCGTTCGCGTTTGGTGTGACTTGTGATTTGTGTGCCTCATGTCGGATTTCTCTACCAAAAGCGCGCCTCGTGCTTCCCTTCACCCTCCTTCCTTCCCCCCACTCTCCCCCCCACAGCGTAACTACTTCAAGCGCAAGTACCCGGGCGGCTGGCTGGCGGCGGGGCCAATAAGGAAGGGAAGGGCTGGATGGTCGTAGTTTAGTTGTTTCCCTTGACTGGTGTCCCTTCCTTTCCCTGCACTCTCCCCCATGCTTCAAGCGCAAGTACCCAGGCGGCTGTACTTGACTCGCTTGCCTTGGCTATTCCCTCACCAGCCCAGGTACTTTACGCGCGAGTCGGGTACCCAGGCGGTTGGGTTCTCGACGCGGGAGTTGACTTGACTTGCGCCACTGGATGGATGAATTCCGCGTGCGCTTTCGCACTCACATGCCCGCCTCCTTCAGCGCTTACGGTGCCATGTCTCCCCGCGTGATCTCCGGCTCCTCCTTTCTCTGGCAGGCAGCCCAGCTCTGAATCGGTGAGCTTTCGTTCTGGTCATGTCTGAATCAACGTCGCGTCCCTTCTCCCACTCATGTTCTTCTTTATCCTCTGGCAGAATCAAAATCACCCCCTGTTCGCTTCCTTGCACTTTCCCCTTGCACTTTCCCCTCGCACTTTCCCCTTGCACTTTCCCCTTGCACTTTCCCCTTGCACTTTCCCCTTGCACTTTCCTGTGCAACCCCCCTGTACGCCCCCCTTTACTCCCCTGCCCTGTATCCCCCTGCACTCCCTCATCCCAACAGCTGCCTTGGAATATGGAGATCGACCCGGGTCATTACTTCCAGTATATCCTGCACCTTTACCGAGGGCTACAATCCCTCTCAGGTGCGCTCAGGGGCGCTCAGGGGCGCTCAGGGGCGCTCAGGGGCGCTCAGGGGCGCTCAGGGGCGCTCAGGGGCGCTCAGGGGCGCTCAGGGGCGCTCAGGGGCGCTCAGGTGCGCTCAGGTGCGCTCATCTCTCCTGGCCTTGCTTGAGTGATTCTGGAATCGTCTCTCAAGTCCCTTGTATGCCCACTCGGGTGCACCTATCGAGGCTAGACGCAATCACTCTGTCACCCACCTTTTTGGAGAGATATTACTACGTGCCGGGCAAAGGCAGGCCATTACTGACACCTGCGCCCATCCTTGCCGCCCATCCTTGCCGCCCACCACTCTGCCGCCCAGTCCAGGTGGAGAGCTACTACATGGCGGACCACCGCAGGCCATTGCTCACATCCGCTGTCCATCCCTGCCGCCCCATCCCTGCCGCCCGGTCCAGGTGGAGAGCTTTTACGGGACGGTCCCCTACTACGAAGGGCTGTTCTACGCCGCTATCTTCCGTGCTGACAAGGCGTGGCCAGAAGCCAGCAGCACACGGGTGGAATCCGTGTTTGGCGTCCCTTACAACGCAACTTACTGCTGTGGGCCCTCTTCAAGGTGGCAGCAGCTGGCGGACCAGGTAGGATGGGTGGTGTGGTGGGGACAAGGAGTGGGTGGGGGGTTGTTTGGGAGGGTGGCGGACGGACGGGTGGAAGCCGTGTTGTGAAAAAAGTTGGATGCGTGGCTCGATGCTTCCAATCTCATCGTCTCTTCCCTCCCCTCCCTTTTCCCTCAACCCCTGCAGGGCCTCGCTCCTGTGAGTGTATCTGTCACGCAGGACCCTTCCACCCAGCAAGTGACTGTAACGGATGCATGGCTCAATGACACCAGCGGGGCCTGGCAGGGCGGGGTGGGCATGACACAGGTGCAGCTGGAGCAGGCCTTAGCTCAGCTGCCGCCTTCCCTGGTTCCCACCTACTTCAAGGCGTACACTGTTGGGAATGAGGTGAGAAGGGGAGGCGCACTGCTGTGCGCATGCTTGGAGGGGAGGTGACAGGCCCTGCCTCAGCTGCCGCCTCCCCTGATTCCCACCTACTTCGAAGCGTACACTGTTGGGAATGAGGTGAGGGACAGGATGAGTTGGGAGCTGCTGACGTCAGCCGCAAGCAGCCACCTCACCTCACCGTCTCTCTTCTCCTGCTCATATTGTGTCCTGTCCTCCTCCCACCTTCGCAGGTCTTCTATGCATACATCGCCCGGGCCAGCACTTCAACAACTCGGTCTTCTATGCATACATCGCCCGGGCCCAGCACTTCAACAACTCGGTCTTCTATGCATACATCGCCCGGGCCAGCACTTCAACAACTCCCAGATTCACTCTCCCAAATTCACTCTCAACAACGCGTGCTCCTATGAGCTGCCGCCTCTCTTTGTGTCCACTTATTATGGGCCAATGTATAGAGCAGATACCGGTAATGGGACCGATGCTCCTGGGTGGGGGGAGAGGTATGCCGTGCTGTGGCAGACACATGGGGTGGGGGGGCAGGCATTAGGGTAGAGAAATGTTTTCAATGTTTAGTTATGAGCCTGGTAGTTCTCCTGTGGGCCTTCTGATTCGGTGGTTAGGTGCGGGACCATCAACAATTACACAGGCTGCCAGATCTGCTTAGAGTACTGATACTGTTGTTTTCTTAATTCAATAGTTTGCCTTTTGCATAAAGAACAAAATCTCAGTCCACGGCAAGCTAGAGCAGCAGAGCAGAGATCACACAACCAAGACCGTCTGTGCAAGCAATACCGGTAACAGAGATCACACTACCAAGAAACAAAAAAGGTCGGTGCAAGGCAAGCAAGAACAGAGAAAAGTCATTGCAAGGCAAGCAAGATGAGAGGTCACACTACAAGTCTTAAAACAGTCCCATCCACTCATTCACCTGCCTTGCCAGCAGCTTCACTGCCCAGCTTCACTCCCCTGGCAGCAGCTTCACTCCCCTGCCAGCAGCTTCACTCCCCTGGCAGCAGCTTCACTCCCCTGGCAGCAGCTTCACTCCCCTGGCAGCAGCTTCACTCCCCTGGCAGCAGCTTCACTCCCCTGGCAGCAGCTTCACTCCCCTGGCAGCAGCTTCACTCCCCTGGCAGCAGCTTCACTCCCCTGGCAGCAGCTTCACTCCCCTGGCAGCAGCTTCACTCCCCTGGCAGCAGCTTCACTCCCCTGGCAGCAGCTTCACTCCCCTGGCAGCAGCTTCACTCCCCTGGCAGCAGCTTCACTCCCCTGGCAGCAGCTTCACTCCCCTGGCAGCAGCTTCACTCCCCTGGCAGCAGCTTCACTCCCCTGGCAGCAGCTTCACTCCCCTGGCAGCAGCTTCACTCCCCTGGCAGCAGCTTCACTCCCCTGGCAGCAGCTTCACTCCCCTGGCAGCAGCTTCACTCCCCTGGCAGCAGCTTCACTCCCCTGGCAGCAGCTTCACTCCCCTGGCAGCAGCTTCACTCCCCTGGCAGCAGCTTCACTCCCCTGGCAGCAGCTTCACTCCCCTGGCAGCAGCTTCACTCCCCTGGCAGCAGCTTCACTCCCCTGCCAGCAGCTTCACTCCCCTGGCAGCAGCTTCACTCCCCTGGCAGCAGCTTCACTCCCCTGGCAGCAGCTTCACTCCCCTGGCAGCAGCTTCACTCCCCTGGCAGCAGCTTCACTCCCCTGGCAGGACAGAGACATTGCAAGCACAGTCAGAACACACTGCACAGGTGGTTACCAATGATCAGCCAGGGCATCTAACTGACCCCAACACAGGGAGGTCCGTGAGGAGTGGTGAGCATGAGAGTGGGAGATATGAGAGGAGTGGAGTGGGGGGTGTGAGAGAAATGGGGGAAATGAAGGAGTCGGGGTTATGAGGGGAGTGGGTGGTGAGAGAGGATTGGAGGGTATGAAAGGTATGGGGGGTATGCAAGGAGTGGGGGGTATGAGGGGGGTGGACGTATGAGAGAAGTAGGGGTATGGAGAGGAGTGGGGGGTATGAGTTGGTGCAGGGCAAGCCAGTCAGAGAGGTCACTACAAGTCCCTAAGCAGTCCCATCTAGTCATTCATGATCTCCCCTGGCACCAGCTTCACTCCAACTGCACTCGTGCTGCCATCCAGGCCATGAATCTAGAATTCATCATTTCGAAATCATCAAGGGACATGAATAGTGCACTGAGATTGCATAATTAATAGTATATTCTTGAGAGTGAATATGTCAGAGTGCAAATTTCAGAATGAATAGTTCAGAGTGAATATGTGAGAATGCATTTGCCAGCTCACATTTCTCTCTGCATCCCTTTCTCAAAATGAATCTCTCACAAATCAATTACTGTATCAACTTTCCAAACGAACATATCTGAATGCATTTTTTTTTAGGCATCCTCGAAATGCATCTCTCATTTTTGAAGAAGGTAAGAGTTCATGACCATACATACACGACCATGATGCATGCATCACCATCCAAGCATGACTATCATATGATTCATGCATGTCTATGCGCATGCACACACCACAACATGCACACACACCACTGAACATAAATGACAATGCATCAAGCTATCCAAACCATACCATGACTGGCCACACCTGATTGCAACCGGGATGGAAGTTGCCAATCCGCTTAGAGCCTCAAGACCCCTGCTGGCTGCCATGAAGCGCCTGCAAAAAGCATCTTGCAGTTTCATATGTGCACGCAAATACCGCCTGCTGCATTCAGTGAGCCCCCCTTGCAATCTCACCCCATCCCATTCTCAATATTTCCCCTCTCATACCTCAGGGACCTGGGCATATCCGGGTTGTACTGCAGCTGCCATGGGGTGACTTGCAGGTCACTGGCCAGTAGCCATTCATCCAGCAGTCGACTAAATCACCCTGTAAAGAGTCAGTGACAAGGTGAAAATAGGATGTCAGTTCAGAGATGCAATGAAACATATTTGCCGTGACGGTTAGTTGTCCTGGCAGCATCCACAGCTGCACTATCTTGTCTATTTGTCAGCATGTTGACATATTCGTGGTCAAAACGCAGGCTGCAATAGTGTCGCTATTTTCCCACTTAAATAGGTTTCACTACGCACGCTGCATACAACTGTACAAAAGTGCAAGACACAAAGATCTTAACAGTCTAAGCAACAAACAGGGGTGAGTGAACGACAAGAAGTATCAGAGAACTCAATACAAGTCTCTAGATTGCTGTCCACGCATCTCCTTCATATTCACAAGCACTAGCTTCACTGGTGCAAGCCCGGCTTCAAAGACGCCTTCCCTATCAAGCATCAGCCAGCGCTGAGACACTGTAGCAACCTCTGAGGCACTGCAGTGCCGAGTCAAGTCCTCTAAGAGCGTCTGCAGGCTGCCAGGCGAGTCAATCATCTTCAAGCCCCTCCACAATCAGCTCCACGAAACTCGCAGGAAGGGAGGGGATGGAGGTGTCGCGCAGTATCAGCTGCTGCAGCTGGGAGAGAAACTCTGGGAGGTGCTGCAAGGCGTTGCAGCGAATCAGCTCCAGTTTGTGCAGCCGAGACAAGCGGCTCATGCCCTGAGGTAGGAGCTCCAGCTGAGGTGCGTGAAGCTTGAGAGACGTCAGCGAGCTAATTTCCAGTATGCTTTCTGGCAGCTCCTCTGGTGACCAAGAAAGCAGCTCCAGCTGCCGTAGCTGTGGCAACACTGCTGCCATGATTTTCGGGAGGCTGCGGATTCCCGGCGCCTCTATCAGCAAGCTGCGCAGGCGAGGGAGAAAGGTCAGGGGGACTGGGAGCTCCCGCCTGTAACCTTTCCAACGCATCTCCAGGTGCTCTAGCTGTTGCAGCTGCTCCACCTGCTCTGGCTGCTCCAGGCACGACAACCTTCTCTTCACTGCAGGCCCACATGTCACCCCAACGCAGTTAAGTTTCAGCACCCTCAGCTGCGACAGCTGGGAGATGTCTACCACATAAGAAGCACCTTCCCTGAAGGGCCCCAAGCTGAGGCTCTCAAGAGAAGGGGGCAGAGAGGCAGGGGGTCGATTCAGCTGCCGACACGCCGTCAGCTCCAGCCCCTTCAGCCCCACGAGTGTGTCCAGTCTTGAGGGTACTTCCGAGAGTAACTTGCAGCATCTGACCTCCAAGGTCTGAAGTCTTGTAAGCCGTGTGAGCGAGCTAGGAAGCGTGCTGGTTCGAATCTTGATTATCTTCAGCTCCTGTAGGCCGATCAACTCTCCCAGTGCTTCAGGAAGCTGAAGCTCGAGTCCAACGGTTGCGTTCAGTTCAAGGCTCGTGAGGGAGGACAATTGGGTGAATGAAGTCGGGAGGGGAATGCGCTGGCAGCCATGCATCCTAAGAGCTTTCAGATTTGCAAGGACCCCAACGTCCTCTGGCAAGGCAAGATGCTGCGCGTCTGAGAAGCAGAGTGCCTTCAGAGCCGTGAGACAGAAGGAATTTGCTGGCACCTCCCAAAGATCGTTGCACCTATTTATAAAAAGCGCCTCGAGAGATGTGAGATGGCAAAAGGAAGGAGGGAGCTCGAGAATATCTACTGCGTCCAGCACCAGCAGCTTGAGGGCAGGCATGTAACCAAAGCTATCGGGTAGGATTAAGTGGCCAGAGAGAGAGACGATGAGCTCTTCCAAATGGCTCAGAGAAGTAAAAGATTCAGGCAGGTGAGAGAAATAATAGCACTCTTGAATGGTCAGCTTGCGAAGGGATGGCACCAAATCTCCGATATCGTCAGGAAGGGTCTCCAGCTCATTGCATCTGGTGATAAGCAGCTCCTCTAGCCTGACGAACGGCAAAGCTGATGAGAAGATGGTGCGGAAATCAGGTGAGGAATTAAAGAAATTGAGCGATTTTAAGCAACATGGCAGCGTTACGCTTGCACCCATCGGCTGATGGCCTTCGTAAGGGGCGAAGGTGTAGAGATTGTGGAGTAGTGGGAGATGAAGGAGGCTGGACAGGTGCTCAAAAGTCCAGGGGAAAGTGAGACAGAGGGTGGTAAGAGAAGTTAGGTTTGTAATTCCAGGATTCTCCAGCACTGCAGCACTATTCACAACAAGGGTGTGCAGCTGTTTCAGCTGGAAAAAAGAGTTTGGCGGCTCTGTTGCTTTGTGGAGGCAGAAGAGGGAAAGCTGCTGTAGTCTCGGGAGCTTCAGAATGAATTGATCCAAGCCATCGGTGGTTACTGTATGCTCCTCCGTCCTGCGATAATGCTTAACCGGTAAGACATCCTTCTTGCTCCATGGCCGTGCAAAACTCCTTCCCACATGAAAATTCGTCAGCTCCGAGCATGACGAAGCGAGGTGAGCGAGGAAGGCGTCGTTGAGGGACTCAACGGTGTTGTCGCTGAGATGCAGGTGGGTGAGGTTGGGGAAACACGCGACGGCGGCTGAGAGATCTTCAAGGGACACCACGACGTCTTCTTTAACGGAGAGCGTTGTGACTTGAAGATTTGCTAGTTGTCGCCAACGACGGCAGACGGACGCTATGCTGAGATTATGAGACAGGTCAGCAGCTGGAGGGGCCGAAATGGGTGTTGTTATTGTCAGAACTGCTTGGTCTGTAGTGTTATCGATAGGTGACCATACATGACTGGAGGTCCACAAACTATCTATGTACGACTCGCTCGAAGGAGATTGCTCAAACGGCCTGCTCAAATCGCAAGTATAAGGTCGTCTGACAGACTATTTATGTTCGTGTGAGACTCCATCGTGCCTGCCGATTCGAAGTTGCTGCGAAACTAGTGGATAATGTGCTAAGGAATGGTAAGTAGATGAGATGTGGCTCTAAGAAGCGACACGGGGAAAAGGAATCAGCAGCGCACTCACAAGGAGAGTAGGTACTAACGGAAGGGTTCCAGGTCTGCGCGATAGACTAGCTTCATACTCCTTCCATGTGCGAGTCTGCTCAGGGGTGGAGAAATGAGAGCAAGTGGGAGGTAAGATATAGAAGGGAGGACGAGGTGATGCAAGCAATGGACGGGTGGACGGCGTGTTCGACATCAGAGTGGACGTCCTCATAACGACACTAGGTTCAACAAGTGTTGCAGCTACGGCGCAGGAGAAATCTGCATGGAACTTGTGGCATTCGAGTTCCGATTTAGGTTAATCCAGTTCTGCTAAACAAACCAGGACTGGCTGGCCTTTTCGTTTGGCGTTACCTAAGCTGACACTCTGAATCAAAATCCCAAGGCCGTTGGGATGAAGCCACACAGACTATGAATGAAGCGAAACTTGCATGATCGCCACGAGGCTGAAGCAGCAAGCTTGTTTCTCGTTTCCTAGGTTTTGTGTTCAGGCACTCGTTACAACGCGTGGAACGAAGGGCAGGCGATGAGAAGATGGCAAGCGCATGAGAAGCCAGGGAAGATGAGCCTGGGAATGATCCCCCATCAAGCATTCCGCCAGCCATCCGCAGCGCCGGCACAAGCCACTCACCCCCTGATCCCTTCCGCGCGGACACACCACCGTTGGGAGGGGGAGTTGGCGAGCCCGCGAGGGTTTTTGTGGATGATTGGCCTTGGCAAACCGAACGCTTTTGGCGAATTGCGTTTCGCCTCGCCTGTCATTCCTAGTGTGTTCGTCCTCCCCAGTCTCTCGAGCCTCGAAAGGTTCGGACCTGGTCTGGCCTGACCTGTGTGTATAGGCTCGGAACATTTTATCACTCCCACCACAGGCCAGCCAACCAACCTAGTCCTTGGTTGCGGTTTGTTACCAGCCGCGAGATTCGAAGTTCCTCCTGTCAGCTCGGCGCGCATGCACCTGTTCTCGTAGGCATTTCAATGCTTTGCTTGCCCAGCCGTGGCGCCTCATCCCAAGATGCATCCTACTATTTTGCATTTCGACGACTCCTACAATCAAGCGCCTCCTCATTACTCTCAAATTCGTGCTACTCGAAGGTTACGGAACTGCACGTCCACTATCTAGTTGCCGTTGCCTCGCATCCGGGGCCCGATGGTCAAGCCGCCTGTTTTTCGTGATCGTCAAGCGACAGTGTTCCCACCTCTCCTTCGAGCCGCTTATAGAGACATTTTTTATCCCCCGTTACAGATAACTGAGTCTATTCAGAGTTCCTAGTGTCGCTGTTCGCATATTCGTAGATTCCCAGCTCATCATTAGCGCGGATATGGCTAAGCTGGCAGCATCCCTACCCTTGCAGCACGTCACGAACGGTATAGCGAACGGAACTGTGGATTCCTCATCGAAATGGAAGTCGAATTTTTATTATTCAACACCCAGCGTTACCTTCAGGAGAATAACTGGAAAGGCGGAACCGCTTCAGTAGGCGGTTTGTGCGAGTGATAGAGTGTTCTGCTACTAGTGGCGGCTCGTCGACCGATAGTGAAGCTGCAGGTTCCGCGAAATCCGATCGGTCAAATATGCGACCGAAATTGGAGAAGTCGATGAATCAATGTAAATGCAAAAAGAGGAGAGGGACGGCAGAAGCTGCATGCGCTGCGGCTGGCGGCGAGACGAGCGGGGACGGAGTGGTGAAGTGGTGACTGCGGCAGCGGTGGCCGCGGCAGGGAGAGCGGAAGGGAGGGGGGGAAGGAGCGCGACGAATTGGTGAAGGGGGGCCTGCTCCTTGGGCTGGCGGAGGTTATGGAGAATGCACTTGGCGCTACCAGCAATGCTACCAGCAATGGGCGAGGTGAGCGGCGGTAGCAGCGAGCTGAGTTTTAGGTCGACTTAGAAGTCGGAGGTCATGGAGAATGCATTCGGCGCCACCAGCGATGGGCGAGGTGAGCGGCGGTAGCAGCGAGCTGAGTTTTAAGTCGACTTAGAAGTCGGAGGTCATGGAGAATGCATTCGGCGCCACCAGCGATGGGCGAGGTGAGCGGCGGTAGCAGCGAGATGAGTTTTAAGTCGACTTAGAAGTCGGAGGTCATGGAGAATGCATTCGGCGCCACCAGCGATGGGCGGGGTGAGTGGCAGTACGAAGTATGGCGAGATTAAGAGGCTTTGAGGGGTTGCTGTGGGGTGGGGATGTGTGAGAGTCACTCGGACTGGTGTGGGGTGCGGTGAAGGGAGGGTGAAGGGGCGGTGACGAAAGGGGGGCTGAAGGAAAGGAGGGTGAAAGGGGGCCAGTTAGGGCACGTTACTTTTTTTATTTATTTGTTCTGGACGACCAACCGTCCAGACGGTTTTGTGGTCATCAAAGTCGTTCAAGCTCGCGAAAACGTTCGTCAGGAACTGAAAGGCGACTCAAGCGTCGCCCTGCGACCGTGCGACGTCGTATGCTTCGCACGCGTCCGGACATTCAGCAGTATTGGAAAAATCTACGCGCCCTGATAAGGGCTGGGGGAGGGTGCGGATTACAAGTTTATGTCGCCAATCTGAGCAGTCGATGGGGGGGGGGGGGGGGGGGCTGACGGAGGCTATGGAAAATGTGCTGGACCTCCAAGATAGCCTCCATGGATCCTCCCAAAGACCCTGCAAGTTGCAACTCTCCCGTCTCACCCATGCGCAATCCCCCCTTTCCCAACCCTCACCTCATCCGTGACCCATCCAGCTCAGCTCCGCTCCTGCTTGCTGTTACCATGCCCTCTCGCGCCCACTTGTACATCCACACTGCTTGCCAAGGCACGGCACAATTGCAGGACCTTCTCAAATCCTTCCCCCTTTCGCCTCCCTATCCGTCCACAGACCCCAATATCTTATCCTGATGCTGTGACCCATGTCGCGACTCGTCGCTCTCGAATCCACGCGGGCCGATTGGAATGGCAGGCGGACTAGGGGTGTCAACCGGGCGATGACCGCGTCGTGCCGTGTCGGGATGATGCCTCGCACCCGCCACTGCACCACACCACCACCCCCGGCTCCGGTGCTGGAAACGTAATAATTGCCCCCTCAGCTGTGCGCCTGCTTCTCATGCACCCGCACTTGTCACTCGCCCACCAGAGCCCTCCCTCATGCTACCCTTCCACCATGCCGTTGCTCGTTCCCTCCTCCTCTGCTCCCCCCGTCTCTTAACTCCCTCTCCCGCACTCTCCCTCCAGCTCTGCACCTGAAAATCATAGCTGACTTCAGCCCCGCTGCACTCACTCGCTGCACTCGTCCTTCCACGTTTCTCAGCTTCTAGCACTGATTGGCAGCTCCGTTTTGCACTTTGTTCTGTGCGCATTTGAGAATTGTTGAAGGCATTGATCCCTCCTTTCCTTCCCCGTTTCTCCCTCACCCCCAGCACTCTCTTTTCCCGCCCCCTCCCACCCACCTTGTCTTCCACATTCCTTTCGAAAGACTCAGCTCCTTTCCCTTCTCCCTTCTCCCCCTTTCCGCTTCTTCCCATCGGCCCCACTTCCTCCCCCTTTCATCCCCCACCCCCCCCCCCCCCCCCCCCCACACCACCAGCCCCGCACCTGTTTCTCCAAATTCCTTACTGCGGTCTCGCCCCATAGGAGCGTTCGGCTCCGCAGGGCACTCGCGACTGCTGGGTGCCCCAGCGGAGGTAGAACGAGGTGCGACCCTTGGGGCAACCTGCGGGCAACCTGCAAGGGGGGAATGCTGGGTGCCCCTGTCGCATTTTTCTTCCTGACGGACGAGCAGGGGGAAAGGAAGGTGGGTTTGTTGGGCGAAAGGAGGTGCATGGTGCGAGGAAGGAGGTGGGCTATCACGGATCACTGGTGCTGGTCACTGCTGGCTGGTGAGAGGAAGATGGGTAGTGAGGGAACATGGGTCACATATCAGCTCAATATCAGGTCAGTATCAGGTCAGTATCAGCTCAGTATCAGGTCAGTATCAGGTCAGTATCAGGTCAGTATCAGGTCAGTCTCAGGTCAGTCTCAGGTGAGTCTCAGGTCAGTCTCAGGTGATTCTCAGGTGAGTCTCAGGTGATTCTCAGGTGAGTCTCAGGTGAGTCTCAGGTGAGTCTCAGGTGAGTCCCACCACCCCATGACCACATCATCCCTTGCTACAAACCAGGAGCCCGAAGAACGTTCATGTTCCTACCTTTCGTCCCCCCCCCTCCCTCCCTCCCAAACCCACTCCCCGCCCTCCCCACCCACCTCGTCTACTGCAGCATTGCGGGGCGCTACAGTGTGAACCTACGGGTGGACATTCACCACCCGAGTCCCCACAGCTTTCCACCTCTTCCAGCGCATCATGGTGGAGCGCTAAGAGGAGAAGCACTCTCCACCTTTCTTTCCTTCAATCTACAATTGGAGCCTATCTTTCTTGCCCATGCTCTGCTCCTCCCTCCCTCCTTCCCCTGCATTTCCCCCTTACCCCTCCTTACCCTCCCGAGCTTTTCCAGCGGGGCACTATGGTGTGCAGTGCAGCTCTCTCTGCCCTTCCGTGTCTGTGTATGTTTATTGCTTCCGCTTCCCTCAATCCCCCTTCCCCCCCGCTTCCCCGCACAAACCCCACCCTTGGTCCCGACTCTTCCAGTGTATCATCCCATACGCTTCATGCCTGTGCCAATACCTTTGCTGTCCCTGCTCCCTTCTATCCCCTCCCCCACCACGCACCTCTCCAGATCTTCCAGCGCATCATGGCAGGGATGGGCGCCATGGCCACTCACTCAGTATCTCACCTCCCTTTCCCCCTCTACTCCCCCTCCACTCCCTCCCCCTCCTTTCCCCTTCCCTTTTTCCTACACTTTACCCCTACACTCTCCCCGCCACTTTGTTCTCTCCCGTTCGTATCCCCTTCCCCACTCCTCTTTCCCCCTTGCCTTAACTCGTTTCCGCCTTCCCCATCAGTTCTGCACCTCCTACCTCTGGCGCGTGGGTTCACACCCGTACACACTGCACATCCGTCCTCCCCGCATCCTACTCATCAACGCATGGTTCCTCCTCTTCTCTCCCCCCTCGCCCTCCAGCTCTGCACCCATCATCCCATCATCCCATTACCATATTGGGACGCGGTAAAAGTGCTCGATCGGAGGAATATTGATCCGGCCACCGCACTGAAATCCCGCTTTTCGCATACAAAAAGTACTTTACCTTACACAACCGCGTTAGAAAACGATCCTGAGGGCGATCGATCTTTCACTTTTACCGCGTCCTCACTCAATTGTCCCATCATACCCCCACCCAACCATGCCTGGCAAGTTGCTACGGTCTGCATCTCCTCTCCACTCTCCCTTACTTGCCCATACTCGATCTTCCCTCCCTTCCCTTTATCCCCCCATCCCAGATCTCTCACCGCATCATAGTTCGGCACTTACTCTCTCCACTCTCTCGTGCTTTCCTGTGCTCATGGCTTCATCCTCCTCATTCCCATTCCCCCACCCACACCAACCCCGCTCCCAGCTATTCCAGCGCATCATGGTTCGTTGCTATGGCTTTCAACTCTCTCTTGCCCATGCTCGTTACTCTTTCTCTCCTGTATCTCCCTCCCCACTCGCTCGCGCCTCTTAAAGTCCATGAAGGAAGGAAGCGACGGCATGCATGCACCTCATCCTCCCTCCTTCCACCGTCGCACAACCGCTCCATTACGCCTTCCTCACTATCTCGTTCTTGTTGCTTCTTCCTTGTTCCCCATCCTCCCATCCATGCGTTTCAGCTCTTTGCTTCTCCCTCCCTCCCCTCCTGTTGCACACACCCCCAGCTCGTGCAGCGCTTCCTCGCGGGGCGCCATGGTGTGCACTTCGCCCCGCCAAACCTCCTCCGCGCCCGCCGGGGCTGTCACGCCACTGCTCCCTCACTCCCAGTCCCTCGTGCGCTCTTCCTGGTAGGTGGTGACGTGGGGGATGAGGTGAGGCAGTGATGTGTGGGATAAGGCAGTGAGGGGGGGAAAGGGGGCATGGCCACCAGCTCTCCCCACCAAACCTCCTCAGCACCCCCCTGGGCTGCCACGGCACTCCCACTTTCTTCCACTCCCTCGTGCCCTCCTCCCTGGTTGCTGGCGAGATGAGGGGTGGGGCAGGTGGCGAGCGCAATGAGTGGATGGTTGGAAAAGGTTTTAGAATGTAGCATTGGTTTTTGCTAGTTGTATAAGTGTAACACCCATTTCTGGGTTGACACTTGTGTTCGGGATACCCCAACCCCTTTATGCTGCAGATCATGGGAAACCAATCATTGGTTGCTCACAACAACCATTATCCCACGTCCCTAATAATGTTGGCTACCCTCAACATGTCCTACCTTCTCCCAGCATTATCCTCATCGCCTTTCCTTCCCTACCTTCCCTACCTAGCCTGCCTTCCGTGCCTTGCTTGCCTGTCATCACCTCTCCCTCTCTGCAGGCCCTTTTCGGCAGGTACAAGGTCAAGATCACCATGATCATCATGCCTCCCTCCTGGCTCTTGCCTGTTTCTCCAACAATGTTCTGCCTCGTCTGGGCTTTCATCTTCATCATCCTTGCCCTCCGCGACACCAAGGAGCTGCCATCGCTAAACAACATCTCACCACGTGGCAGAGGGCATTTTCATCTGCTAGTTACAGTAGCAGCAGCAGCATGTTTTCTTCGTTCTACCCCGCCAACTTTTGAGTGAAGTCAGAAACAACCACTCTGCTCAATAGCACTGCTGCTTCCTGCCAAGCCCACCGGCACGTTCCCGTTGTTGTACCCGTCAATTTGCGAAGCATGCATGTTGCAATCCAGATTATGATGAGAACCCTCCCCTCTAATGTACAGCGCTGCTGGTTGTTGTTGGGTTCCTGTCAATGAACTTGGTTTTGTTGCATCTAATATCAAGGTGGTCCTGATGTCGCTCTGACGCAGTACAGTACATCATAGTGTTTCACTTCTGAAATACGGTCGTTAAAGCCAGCAGCTCAAATAGTGACCCCCCCTTGGAAGCATAAGATAATGAGCTTTCAATGGCAAAGATACAGAAACACCGCAAGGTGATATATTAGTGTGATCATTCCACAAGAGTAGCATAGGCTCGAGCATCTTAGGCCCACAATACACATTCCTCACCCTGAACTGAGCCAAGCCACAATACAGGAAGCAAACAGTACCGTAGTTGGCCTGGCAACGCAAGGCAGAGGCCTGGGCAGGATTAGAAGGCAGTCGTGACGAATTCAAAAACCCAGGGAGCAGACGAAACAGTGTGTCTGCCAGATGCTTGCTGGTGCTGCTGATGCGGCAGAGAGCAGCAATGGAAGGGCAAAACCAGGAGTGCAAAGGTGAAAAGCAGGAGTGCAAGGGTGAAAAGCAGGAGTGCAAGGGTGAAAAGCAGGAGAGCAAGGGTGAAAAGCAAGAGAGCAAGGGTGAAAAGCAGGAGAGCAAGGGTGAAAAGCAGGAGAGCAAGGGTGAAAAGCAGGAGAGCAGGGTGAAAAGCAGGAGAGCAAGGGTGAAAAGCAGGAGAGCAAGGGTGAAAAGAAGGAGAGCAAGAGTGAAAAGCAGGAGAGCAAGGGTGAAAAGCAGGAGAGCAAGGGTGAAAAGCAGGAGAGCAAGGGTGAAAAGCAGGAGAGCAAGGGTGAAAAGCAGGAGAGCAAGGGTGAAAAGCAAGAGAGCAAGGGTGAAAAGCAGGAGAGCAAGGGTGAAAAGCAGGAGAGCAAGGGTGAAAAGCAGGAGAGCAAGGGTGAAAAGCAGGAGAGCAAGGGTGAAAAGCAAGAGAGCAAGGCTGAAAAGCAGGAGAGCAAGGGTGAAAAGCAGGAGAGCAAGGGTGAGAAGCAGGAGAGCAAGGGTGAAAAGCAAGAGAGCAAGGGTGAAAAGCAAGAGAGCAAGGGTGAAAAGCAGGAGAGCAAGGGTGAAAAGCAGGAGAGCAAGGGTGAAAAGCAGGAGAGCAAGGGTGAAAAGCAGGAGAGCAAGGGTGAAAAGCAGGAGAGCAAGGGTGAAAAGCAGGAGAGCAAGGGTGAAAAGCAGGAGAGCAAGGGTGAAAAGCAGGAGAGCAAGGGTGAAAAGCAGGAGAGCAAGGGTGAAAAGCAGGAGAGCAAGGGTGAAAAGCAGGAGAGCAAGGGTGAAAAGCAGGAGAGCAAGGATGAAAAGCAGTAGAGCAAGGGTGAAAAGCAGGAGAGCAAGGATGAAAAGCAGGAGAGCAAGGGTGAAAAGCAGGAGAGCAAGGGTGAAAAGCAGGAGAGCAAGGATGAAAAGCAGGAGAGCAAGGGTGAAAAGCAGGAGAGCAAGGGTGAAAAGCAGGAGAGCAAGGGTGAAAAGCAGGAGAGCAAGGGTGAAAAGCAGGAGAGCAAGGATGAAAAGCAGGAGAGCAAGGGTGAAAAGCAGGAGAGCAAGGGTGAAAAGCAAGAGAGCAAGGGCGAAAAGCAGGAGAGCAAGGATGAAAAGCAGGAGAGCAAGGGTGAAAAGCAGGAGAGCAAGGGTGAAAAGCAAGAGAGCAAGGGTGAAAAGCAGGAGAGCAAGGGTGAAAAGCAGGAGAGCAAGGGTGAAAAGCAGGAGAGCAAGGGTGAAAAGCAGGAGAGCAAGGGTGAAAAGCAGGAGAGCAAGGGTGAAAAGCAGGAGAGCAAGGGTGAAAAGCAAGAGAGCAAGGGTGAAAAGCAGGAGAGCAAGGGTGAAAAGCAAGAGAGCAAGGGTGAAAAGCAGGAGAGCAAGGGTGAAAAGCAGGAGAGCAAGGGTGAAAAGCAGGAGAGCAAGGGTGAAAAGCAGGAGAGCAAGGGTGAAAAGCAGGAGAGCAAGGGTGAAAAGCAGGAGAGCAAGAGTGAAAATCAGGAGAGAAAGGGTGAAAAGCAGGAGAGCAAGGGTGAAAAGCAGGAGAGCAAGGGTGAAAAGCAGGAGAGCAAGGGTGAAAAGCAGGAGAGCAAGAGTGAAAATCAGGAGAGCAAGGGTGAAAAGCAGGAGAGCAAGGGTGAAAAGCAGGAGAGCAAGGGTGAAAAGCAGGAGAGCAAGGGTGAAAAGCAGGAGAGCAAGGGTGAAAAGCAGGACCAGACGAAGCAGTGCCTACGGGGGGGGTGGAGGTTATGAGAAAGCGTGCGGGGTATGAGAGCAGTGGGGGCATGAGAGGAGTGGGGGGAATGAGAGGAGTGGGGGAAATGAGAGGAATGGGGAGAATGAGAGAAATTGGGGAAATGAGAGAAGTGGTGGGGGGGTATGAGTGGTGTATGTTGAACTGTATCAGGTGTTCCACCTCCCTCACTTTTAACTGAACCACAGCCACGTGTCACCTCCCTATTTGCTCTACAAGCCATGGTGCGAGGCGCGGGAACCCCTCCGTAGTGCACGGTCATTGCGTTGCTGACGTGGCGGGTGACAGCGTGTCACTGCCGGGCTGGACCCAACTTGACGACTTGCTCTGACGTTCTTGAAGGTGATTCTGTGTGCTGTTGCAATAAGAAGGGATCGTTCTGCACAACGCCACTCTTGCCTTCACTTCCTAACGTATCAAAGCACAGGGGTTTCAGGCACAGGGCATGCAGGCACAGGGAATTCAGACACAGAAAAATCAGGCACATGGTATTTAGGCACAGGAAGTCGAGGCACAGGGAAATGAAGCACAGAAAATTGAGGCAATTGGAATGGAGGCGCTGGGAACTCAGGCACAAGGAATCAAGGCACAGAGCTTTCAGGCACAGAAAACTCAGACACTGGGAAATCGGGCACAGAGAAAAGCGAATTCCGGCAGAGAAAAAAAAGGCACAGGGAATCTAGGCACAGGGAATTCAGGCACAAGGAATACGAAAGGTTCAGGCATATGAAAATCACGCACATCAGGCACAGGTGGTTGAGGCACAGGAATTTCAGGCACAGGAAACTCAAGCACAGAATCGTCAGGCACAGAGAATTCAGGTAAAGAGAATACAGGCACTGGAAATTGAGGCAGAAGAAATTGAGGCAGAGGCAATTGAGGCACATGAAATTGAGGCACATGAAATTCCAGCACCGGGAATTCAGGTACAGGGCAATCAGGCACAGAAATTTCTAGAGCAAGGGATTCAGGCGCAAGGAATTCAGGGCCAGGAATGTAGTCACAGGAGATTCAGGCACAGGGCAATCGCACGCAGGAAATGCCCTGTGCCTGAACAATGGATTCAGTCAGGCCCACGAAGCTAGGCACAGTCAACTCTGGCAAAGAGAAATCAGGCACAGGGGATACAGGCACAAGGAATTCAATTACCGGGAATTCAGGCACAGGGAATTCAAATAGTTGGGAATTCAGGCACAGGGAATTCAATTACCGGGAATTCAGGCACACGGAATTCAAATAGTTGGGAATTCAGGCACAGGGAATTCAATTACCGGGAATGTAGGCACAGGGAATGTAGGCACAGTAATCTCGGGCACTGAGAATTTTGGCACAGGGAATCGGGCGCAAAGAATTCAGACACAAAAAATTCAGGCACAGAGGATTCAGTTGAAGAGAAATAAGGCACAGGGATTTCAGGCACAGAAAATGTAGGCACAGGAAATTTTGGCACAGAGAATTCAGACACAAGGAATTCAGGCACAGGTCAATCATGCTCGGGAAATTTAGGCACTGGGAAATTGCACACAGGAATTTTAGGAGCAAGGAAAACTAGCAAAAAGAAATTAGGCACAAGAAATCAAAATACCAGGAATTCAGGCACAGAAAATTTGGAAACTGAGAATTTAGGCACGGGGCATTCATGCACAGAGAACTCGGGCGCAAGGAATTTAAGCACAAAAAAAATCAGCACAGGGTATTCACTTAGAGTGGAATAAGACACAGGATATTCAGGCACATGGTATTAAGGCACAGGGAACTCAGGCACAAGAAATCAGGCATAGGGAATATAGGCACAAGAAATTCAGGCACAGGGAATATCGGCAGAGAGAAATCAGGCACAGGGAAATGAGGCTCAGGGAATTCAGGCTCAGGAAATTCAGGAACAAGGAATCCAGGCACTGGATATGCAGGCACAGGGTTATACATGCACACGGCATTCAGGACAGGGATCTCAGGGACAGGAAATCCAGGCACAGAGATTTCGGGCACAACATTCAATCACAAGAAACTCAGGCACGTAGAGGAAATTCAGGTATGGGGAATTTAGCCTCATGGCAATCGAGTACATGGAATTCAGGCACAAGAGACTGAGGCACAGTGAAATGAGGGCGTCTGCTGCATTGAGGGTATACCAAATTTTCACATTTGCCTAGCATAGGCGTCTGTTGCATTCACTAGCACTCTCCTTCCATCTCACAAGCCCGCCTACGCAACCCATTAACCACTTCCTCTTCTCGTACCTTTGAAATAAGTACATATTTGGGCTGTGCCACAGCTGCCATGGGGTAATGACAATGATGTGGCTTTCAAAACAAATGACAATGATGTGGCTTTCAAAACAAATAAGTACACTGAACATGATCATGATCGTGATTCGTGAGGTGCAGCAATCAGTTGTCCTTCTGGCCAACTACTTCTCCACAACTACTTCTCCACAACTACTTCTCCACAACTACTTCTCCACAACTACTTCTCCACAACTACTTCTCCACAACTACTTCTCCACAACTACTTCTCCACAACTACTTCTCCACAACTACTTCGCCAAACAAAGAACAAAATACGATTCTACAAACTGTACAATCCATGCATTTTCTTCATCTACCCTTGCACCAGCTTCACTGATGCAGGCCCGCCTTCAACACATGAGCCAGCCAGCACTGAGACAATCGAAGCAACCTCCGAGATACTGCAGCGCATACAACCAGGTCAATTCATGATTCCAGCTGTAAAAGACCAGCCTGACTGTCAAGGTTGTTAAGTAAGCTGCACAAATTTCGCAGGAAGGGACGGGATGGAGGTGTCAAGGAGAATCAGGTGGTGCAGCTGGGTCAAAAACTCCGGGAGGTGCTGCAAGGCGGTGCAGCGAATCAGCTCCAGTTTGCGCAGCCGAGACAAGCGGCTCATGCCCTGAGGTAGCAAAATCAGATGAGGTGCGTTAAGCCTCAACGACGTCAGCGAGCGCAGCTCCAGTAAGCTTCCTGGCAGCTCCTCCGGTGCCCAAGAAAGAAGCTCCAGCCGCTGTAGTTGCGGCAACATTGCCACCATGTTCCCCGGAAAGCTACGAATTCCTCGCGCCTCTATCAGCAAGCTGTGCAGGCGAGGAGACAGGTCAAAGTCAGGGGAATTGGGAGCTCCTGGCTGTCACCTCCCAACCACATCTCCAGCTGCTCCAGGTGCTCCCAGCTCAACAACCTGCTACTCCCTGCACGCCCGCATATCACCGCGACACAGTTCAGCTTCAGCACCCTCAGCTGCGATAACCCAGAGATGTCCACCACATGGGAAGAGCCTTTCTTGAAAGGCCCCAAGCAGAGGGTCTCAAGACAGGGGGGTAGACTGTTAGGGGGTGTACTCAGCTTCCGACATGAGACCAGCTCCAGCCTCTTCAACCCAACGAGCATATCCAGCCTCGAGGGTACTTCTGAAAATGACTCGCAGCGTCTGACCTCCAATGTCTGAAGTCTTCTAAGCCGTGTCAGTGAGGTAGGAAACACGCTTATTGAAGAATCAATTATCTTCAGCTCTCGTAGGCTGCTCAGCTCTCCCAAGGCATCTGGAAGTCCACCTACCCCGCATACAGCAAGCTCAAGGCTCGTGAGGGAAGATAGTTGGGTGAATGAAGTTGGGAGGGGCGTGTGCTGGCAGCCACGCAACTTCAGAGCCTCCAAACCTGCAAGCGCCCCAACGTCATCTGGCAACACAAGATATAGCAAGTTTGAGCAGCAGAGTGCCTTGAGACCCATGAGGTGACATAAACCTGCTGGCAGCTGCCGAAGGTAGATACAACCATCTAGTAAAAGGGCCTCGAGGGACGTGAGATGACACATGGAAGGAGGGAGTTCGGAGAAACGCAAGCCCTTCAGCACCAGCAGTTTGAGGGCAGGCAGGTGACCAAAGTTTCTGGGAAGGTTGAATCTGGTAGCCTTAGAGACAATGAGCGTTTCCAAACGGCTCAAAGAAGTGAAGCTTTCAGGCAGGCTTTCCAAAGAAAAGCACTTGCGAATGGTCAGCTTGCGAAGGCACGGCAACAAATCTCCAATGTGGTCTGGAAGCGTCTCCAACCCACTGCAATTGG